GTGTGGCTTCTTGCTCGACAAGATAAGTCCTCTCGGGTATAATAGTGACGAAAGCGGATTGCGGCCTTCCTTAGATAAAGCTGAGGCAATACGGGACTATCCACGACTGACAAATGCGAGTGAGGTAGAAGTATTCCTTTATATAACTATTTACTTACATCAGTTCATTCCGGGCCGAGTAGAGTACGTACGCATTTTCAAGGACACCATAGTCTACTGCCCACTCTATAAGCAGGAGAAATATGTATCGAAGTACACTGGCAAGCAAGGGAAGCCGGTAAAGATTGCTTGCTGCCTAAAGTGGGGACAAGAGCAGGAGCAAGCATTTAAGGCAGTGAAGAAAGCGATCGTGAATGGTGTGGTATATGGTGGCGATGAGATGAAGCAGTATCACCTAATGACTGATGCCTGAATGCATGCGCTTGTGTTAGGCGGAGACAACCTAATAGACTTCAGAGTTGTCTAGGCCAATCGAGATTCGTTTTTATAGACGGAGATTGTCTAGGAAGGCTCGAACTTCACTCGTTTCGTTTATGACTACTAAGAGCCAAGTAAAGTAGGGTAAAGTAAAGTAAAATCGTAAGAACAATGTTATATTGTTAAGGTCTCTTCTCCGTTGCTTGATGATGTCTAAAGCTTGGGAGGCACTTCGATATTTATATTCCGCGTCTGAGTGTTCGCGGACTACATCTAACATACAACCATGTACCTTTTTCCAATATAACTCGCAACGTCGGGTTTTCTTCCAAGGTGCGAACACCTGGAGACCCTGAAAATCATCACACCCTCTTTGATAATTATAATATGACTATTTGGAAGTCATGCTGTTTCCAATAGTAATTATCCGATAGTGAGAGTCTTTTTAGACAAATGGCCCAATTCTCAAGTCGAACTGTGTTGGCTCCAATCGTCTCCCTTGTCGACGAAATGATCAGTTTCGTCTGCGGGTTGCATCTGCGAAGATAGTTGTTATTACCGACTTTCTAGGTCATCTAACTTTAACTCTTCATAACTCCATACCCAACCGATAGGTCTTTTCAGGAGGACTTCCTACTTGCCTGCGGGAAGCCTTTCCATAGGATTGGTAGATAATCCCTCGGTCGGTAATCCTTGGTTGCCGTGGGTAATAGGATTCTGGTTACTGTTACCGGTTTGGGAGTCACCCCTTCAGTTGCAGTATGTACCGGAACCTAGTTGTAACACTCCTCGAACTTCATTGGGTTCGATGGTAGTATTCTCAGGAGTTCCAGACTCTTCTGGTTATCGTAGGGTAGATGTGAATGTATTGGTCTTTCATTAAGATCCTTTACTATTCATCATCATCTTTTTGCGCGAAAACGTCCCGTTACCTACGGCCTGTGCCGAAGATATCTCGTTCTTGAAGCCTAGTAACGTTCTGGGTAGTTGACGGATTCACTCCGTTATACTTCCCAGACCTAGCCGAAGGTCCCCTCTTATATATCCTGCGAACAGGATCCGGTCGGACGGACGGCGGCGACGTATACGGTGTTATTTTAACACCTTCGATTCTGTGGTATAATACTCACAGGACACAACTTAGATCGATATGTATGATGACGCGCGGGCCCCGTAACGGGGCCGGAGGGGGGTGTTGGAAACCTGAGATTTCGATTTCGGGAGAGGTTACCCTACCTAGGGTGGTTCCTAGGTATCGGATCTCGGTATTCCTAACAGCTTGGTAGCATGCTATTTCAGCTACCCACGTCTCCTACGGGTACAAGTCTAAAAGTGTCTACAACAGCAGAAATGAAAATTATTATGTTCATCTCTAAACAATTCTTGCTTGCAGAAACCCGAGACACCATGACCGAGTGAGAGGCATTAGCAGTCCTTCGATGCCTTGAGGAGGTGAGATGGCTTGTCCTGGACTCGTCATTTTCAACGAAGGTCTACACTGACCACCGGACACTCCTAGGATTATTGCGAAAGGATAATGCTCATGGGAGAATTGTGAGATAGCAAGCACGTTTGACTGAATACGATGTAGAATATATACATATCACAGAGAAGGAAAATGTGCTCACTGATAGGATGAGTCGGATCAAGCATGATAAAGAGGAGAATATTAGGCAAGAGACAGACAAAGCGCAGGAGGTATTGGTAATAGAAAAGGAGGAATTGGCAGACGCATGGAAGGAGTGGTTTAATGATAGGTAGTACAGTGAAGTAGTTCACTTTAAGCTCTTTGGTGATCTGGAAGACTTTCATAATGCATTGAGTGAACCGTTAACAGCTCATCAGAGGCGTCTCATTCGACTCAAGTCAAAGTCCTACCGCCTACTTAGTACACTGGTATTGGGTGATAGAGCAATTACGGGAATCAGACTTTCAGATGTGGCCCATTCCACTGCAAGTTCTGGAAACTGGTTGGTATTTGTTGAGAGGAATAGAAAAGAAGTGTTTTGTATTCGGAATACAGAAGTGGAGTCAATAGTGTATCAATCACATGACTGCCACAGACATTTTGCAGTAGGAGTCCTATTAAGGACTATCTTGAAGTGGTATTACTGGCCTACACGGGCAAAGGATGTCAACCTTTATTGTCTCACTTGCCCAAGCTGTCAGATGGTAGGCCCTCTTCAACTATCGGTTAGTCAGTTAGCCATAGTTCATCTTCAACCGCTGGATATGATGTGGTTTGATTTTGTCGGAAAGTTCCCAGATACTGCGAGAGGAAATAAGTATATCATTATTGAAGTTGACTATTTTACATGTTTTCTGTTTGGCAAAGCTGTTCCTGATTGCCAGGGGAAATCTGCAGTTATGTTCTTGATGGAAGTGGTTAAGCAGTTTGGCTGGCTGAGGGCCATCTACACAGATAACGGTGCTTACTTTGTATCTGGAGAATTTGCAAAAGTCCTAAGTATGCTCTCGGTCATGCACTTCTCGGTGCCCAAGTCACACCCACAGTCAGTAGGCTTAGCCGAACGGTATGTCAAATTGCTAGTTGATGGGTTAAAGGTGACGATTATAGGAAGAAAGTTATCACAAGCAGACTGGGACTTGGTCGTCAACCTGGCTATCCATGCGATCAACACCCAAGTCCTCAACATTCATGGATTTAGCCCGGCTGAGTTGCTACTTGGATATAATCCAAACAGAACGGGTTGTGAAGCTTCTGTGGGGATAGAGTGTGTAATAGGTGCACTGTGTACTACAATTCACATGGAGGCAGACCCTTGGGAGAAGGAGAAGGACCTAGCGGAGAGGCAGCTTGAACGCTTAACCCGACTAGACAATATTTGGATAGATGCAGCTTCAAAAATAGTTGATGCAGCAGAGAAGTATCAGACCGGCCAGAAGCCAACATGATTCGTCTCACTAAGAGTGGGGGATCTAGTAGTTCCGCGAAGGTTCCTCCTGCATCAGCGATACTGTAATATGTTAGAGTCACGATGGGAGGGTCCATATATCCTGTCAGATCTGGCGAGGTATGGCAAGAGCGGGAGATTATGGGATATGAATACTGGGGAGATTGTGTGGGTGAAGAAGGGTACACTGAGGGAACGTGTCCATTTGAACAACCTAAAAGTGTACCTACCAAGGCGAACTGGGGTAAAGGCAGGAGTGAAATTGGTGGATCTTCTAGAGCATGAGAAGAGAGCTACTGAGCAGCAGGTAGATGCATTTAGTTTAGATCAGATTGGCAGCAGAGGTAGTAGGAGACTGGAGTGGATTCAAGAAGTAGAAGAAAAGGAGGAAGATCATAGCGGGTTACTCGATGATTGAATAGAATGTTGCAGGAGGAAAAGGAAATTGTCTATAGAACATGCTATTTAAGTAGTAATTTGCCTTCAAGGGCAAAGGTTGAAGGAGAGGGGGGATCCTGGCGACTGAGGCAGATTGAGTTAGATAGTTTAGCAGTCACAGGAGGCATTTTGTCATCCACTAAAAGTTTTGTTTTGTTGTTTACGTGGCATGAAGGATTTTCTGTATATAAACCACAGTTTTGTTTCATGGTTAGGAGGAGAGGATGAGCAAGCAACTTTACAGCAATAAAAGTCACACCTTTCCTTTATCTCACTTGGTTACATCGTCAGTCCCCTCAGCACATCCTTGTTCAGTAACTTTACCCATACCTTGTCTGGGCATTTCTGCACTTCTCCATTGTACGATATAAGAGGAGGTCACAGTTATACCAAGAGGGTTGGGGTACGGCACACGCAGCACACCATCCAATCAAAGGGGAGTGAGAGGAAACCCCCGACACCGGTACGAGTACTCGAGTGCCGGGACAGAAAACGTCCGTCCCATCATCGGCATCACTATCGGGCCCGGCATCCCCAGACCGTGACACTCCCACCTAACTCTCACCTTCCGCCAAACTGTGCATAACAGCACAATCCGACACGCAAGAAATCTCTCACATCGCACCCCCCAGTATTGGTAAATGACGCGTACTCGGACAGCAACTGCAAGGCTTAATTGGGAGACGAACCACTTTCGATAGGCTGACTCATAGCACTAAATTACGCGGCGTTACTGATACAGTTGCATAAGTATTTCCTGGCGGTAGGGATTTAATCTGAGCAAATCCAGGAACAGGACTGGGCCAGCTAGGCTTTGGCAGACATGTGTAAGGCGCTGTGCCCCTACATTCCGATACGGTACTGTACACGTACTGGTACAAGTACCGGACTGTTACTCGCACGGTTTATTTCCGAATATCCGGCGNNNATTAGAGAGGCACTCGAGCCATTCCAACAGTACGCATTACCGAACACTTTCTCTCTCCTCCCCAAGTCTGTTCACCCTTTCCTAGCCTTCTTCCACAAAAAGGGGGCGAGGAAACAGCGTTGCTAACTCTTTATCGATAGGTACCCGTAAGAACTCAACCAGACTCAACGCAACACACCACACAAAAGGTGAAAAGAAATAGAAAACGCCCGTCTCCATCAGGTAACGGAAACTTCCCCCAGAAAAAGAAAATCACCCACTTTGCCAAACACCAAAAAAAAAAAAAAAAAAAAAAAAAAAAGATGCCCTTAGCAGCCCTCATTCGCCGTGGGACCTCGTTCTTCAATAGTGGGAAATTTGCCGGCCCTACAACGAAGGATACTTTGTTTCCTGTCGTTTCAAAGGAGGTTGACGGTGAGGATTGCGATCATGATTGCGATCATTGTCCTGGTTATGGAAGGGCATTCGATAAGATTGGGATTGAGACCGAAGGCGAGCTGTGGGGTGGGATTAAGGGATTCGCCAACCACGTCATCGTAGCTACCGGCGAAACGGACTGGATTAGGGATGTGGAGGATATCAAGGGGTCCGTTATGCGGGAGCTCAAGAAGAATAGCGAGATGTTGGAGCAGGGTGTGAGTCTTGCTTTACTTGCCCCTCGTTCATGGAACAACATTTACATATTGTGAAATGTCAGTTTAACTAACTGGCACTGGCGCTGTTCAGAGGTTGATGATTTCAGCTTCCAATTTGCATCCTCCCCTGGAGTACTATTCCGCCGCTGAGAAGGGGAAACCACAACCTACCAATGTTATTATTCTTCCTTCATTCACTGTTATTGAAAATGTCACCCCGAACGAGACTCCGGAGCTCATTCGACGATTCATCAATACTGGTCCGACAACTTCCACTCCTCTAGACCCTCCTGCATTGACACCCGTGAGCCCTGCTTCTTCGTCTACTCCTTCGACCCCACTGGGCCGTGCCCTTTCATTCCCCTTCAGAACCGAACCTAGAAGTGAAAAGGGGCCCGATCCAGCGGAAGCCAAAGCCCCCTCCCCCACTGCTGCACCCTCCTCCGAAGATACCAGCGCGCCTACCCCAGAAAAAGAAACGGGAGTGGAGAACCCCACTGCAAAACCCTCCCTACTCGACGACTCCTTCATCACCCTCTCTCTTGAGCCCTCCTCGACTCTAAAATCTCACCCCTTCCCACACTCCTACCTAATTCTCATCTGCTCGCACCGTCGCCGCGACGCACGCTGCGGCATTTCTGCCCCCATCCTGCGCAAAGAATTCGAAAAGCATCTGCGCCCGCTCAACCTTTGGCGCGACCTCACCGACACCCGCGACGGCGGAGCCAAGGTGCTCTTCATCAACCACGTCGGCGGGCACAAGTACTCTGCCAACGTCATCATTTACAGGAAGGAGGACGGGCAAGGGATTTGGCTGGCGAGGGTCGCACCGAAGCATATTGAAGGGATCGTCAGGTTTACCATTTTGCAGGGAAAGGTCGTCCATCCGGATATGATTCGCGGGGGGTTTAATAGGAGGGCCGGTGGAATTAGCTGGTAGTTAATTGTGGCAATAGTTTTCAGGAAATGTTTTCTTTTCTTTGTTGATGTGAGGAGGGGTGGGGGAAATTTTAAAGATTTTTCTTTTTCTTTGTACCTTGGTGTGCTTTTGATAGAGTCATGGGATACACCGTTGCCTCCTTACTCACATACATGTATACTTGAGTGCACTGATATATACACTGATAATTTTAGTAAATGCTTCTCCCGGGGATGCAGCTCTTCTATTGCATCCTATTTATCTATTTTGACTGCTACCGGTACTCCTTTTGCTTTTTGACCATTTTCCACTATGTGTATGATGGTATTATGGGAGGAGGTGAATAGTATGGGTTTGTCAAGCCCGTTCATAGTACTCAAGTATCATATATCGGCATTCTTTCGGGCGGGGGAAAAAGAATCGACAAGGCAGCGATGCTTGGCGGGTGCTCTTGGCAACAACGGCAACGTCGGCAAGCGAGTGATAACTTATGCATTTGACCACCGAGGCATTCGAGCTTGCATCTCAACGCAAATTCAAGCACGATACAGTACTCTATACATATCGGCTAATTTGTATGCTCAAATTCTCTCGACATTCTCCGCCGTCCTTCAGATTTCAGACTACCCGTAGTGGGATTGCCATATCCCCTGCCCTGTTTTCGATTAATCGACCGGGAGGGGGGGAGGGGCAAGACCGATAGAGTAACATCAATAGTGTAGTTGCCACTCGATATCAATAAAAGCATAGAGACCACAGAAGGACTACCTTTGATTTGATAGTAATGTGAAGATACAAACCACTGTAACGCCACAGGGCGACAACACGGAGTGATACCATAGGTGCGACAACAGATAAGTGTCAACCATGTGGCTGAGTACGCAACACAACATAATAAACCCAATACTGGACCAAATCAAATCAAATAAAAACCGTACTTTTATTCTCCCATATCTCGAAAGCATTTCTACGGTTTTTTTGTAATTTATTTAGGCCAGTATTAGGTTGGTTATGTTGGATTGCGTACGGAGTCACTACTCAGCCAACTGGTTGACACCCTTCTCTTCCTGCGCTCGTGCCATGGTGCGACACACATCAGCCATCAATATATCTCGTTACCCGGCCTTTGTGTTTCCCTGGGGCGTTGCCACTTTTCCTTCGCTTTTTCAAGTTTTTTGACCCGCCGTACGATACAATGAACTATTTCGCGAATGATGAGAAGAAGGAGTAGTGCAGGGAATGGTTTTTAATTTTCATAAGGTACTTCACTCTTGCGGTATCTCTACTCCGTAGGAGCCCTCATTCTGCTAAAGTCCAGTGTCAAGCCTCAATCCTACGTACTTGATTGGTGCTCAGAACCTGGGACGGACTTAGCGCGGCTTTTTACAGTACAACCGCATTCATAAAATTCTCATACCCTCCCGTGTATCTCGGGAGCTGTGCCATCAACAAGAGAACAAGAAAAGCCTTTTAACTGAACTGTTCTTAGATATGCCTCTAGGGATACTGCGAAGTTTTAACACAATTTGTTTTGCCGAATAATGGGAGAGAGAGAGGGTTAGCAAATCGTTTCCAAGGGCAGGGGGTACTTGGAAGTTGTATGAGAGAGAGCCTTGTAAATGCGGCTGTACTGTACTGTACGAGTACGCTGAAGGTCGGAACCTATCCCTACGTTCGTTCCCGAGTTTCGGGACTTTTTGAGTGCGTATTTCGACACCCGACATTCAAAAACTAGGCTCATAAGGTACGTATGGCCCCGATCACTCAATGGTGGTGGTGACCCTGGCCAATGATGGAATTTAGACTATGGTCCCGAGGAGTTGATCGATCTTTTTTTTTTCCTCTTCGAGTGGCGCTGCTCGAGCGTGAGGTCCAGAATATTGTACTCGTACAGACGAAGGGGTGGAAATTTCTCTTTTCCCTCTTGGTGTGAACATCACTATGTACTGCGTGTCAATCTCAATGTAACGATCTAATCTCGAAAAAATGTGCGGATCTAATCCAAATGTGCGGATCTTATCTGATCCCCACCGAAAAAACTTTTCCCTTCCAACAATCTCAACCCCAAGCCCTACTCGTCACCTGCGCTTTCCGCGAGCAACACGCTTGCACTCTGCGAGCAGCCCAAATGGTGCTAGTGGTGTTGTCCGTTCTCCCCTCCCCCCCCAAAAAAAAAAAAAACTACCAGTACGGGTACTGTACAGTACAGTACGGTAGGGGACAATCTGTATCATGGAACCTCCTACGTGCTCACAATATCGGCAAGTTCCGTTTGCTTTCACTTCAGTGGAAAAAAGTGTTTCAGTGAAATAGTAGGACGGTGATTGACAAGATTTATAATTGCCAAGTTTCCATCTCCATCCGGTTATGGTTGAGTTGGAAGGTGGAAGGTGGGTGTGATAGTCTAGTCTGTCTAGCTGTTGTCCGTGAAATTTTATAGACTGCCCCCTCTAAAATAGTAGATACTCTGCTGCTATATAGTTCCTCGGAAACCGTTTCGCTAGCCCCTCTCCTTCCTTTAAACTCCGGTGTGGTTGGAAGCGAATCGTGATAAATGTTTGCAATGTCTGTTCTCGGAGACGCATCCAAAGGGTTAACTTATCTACGTAGAGAGAGGGCTATTGTTTTTGTTGGTGGGCAACCTATTGCTTTCGGGGTATGGGAATTTTTGCGGACTGCGGCCGTACCTGTACTGTGTATCTACTCGTATACGTGCTCTAGTCTTTCGTACGAGTGTTGTGCGGTGTTTCTGTAGTCAAATAGTGCGGAAGTGCGGTTCTATGATGAAGATGAGTGGACAAATATTATAAATGAATAAAGTTTAATGGAGTCGATAATAACCCCTTGCTGCCAACTTATGATCGTAGTGTAAATAAACCTTATCACGTATCACAGGCTCCTATATACAGTACTAGACTAGTCTAACCTCGGTTGAAGTTGACAGACTCGATTCAACTCAACTGACACGCTACAATATCCCGTGGATATTTTTGATCTTTTACTCTTTATTGCCAAATCTTGACTTATTCGAATCAATGGATTCCATGGGAGCTCGCGAAGAGGAATTAGTCCAGGAGTTGAAGGAGTATACTTCCTGCGACGTAAGTTGGTCTTATAATTTACTCGAGTGCCGTGTGATCGCTGGGTTTAGGCGTTGATGTGGAGAAGGTATCAGACGCACTCGTGAAACTTGGGTATTCTCATGGTGGATTTCTGTGCGATATTAGTACTCCCCCTCTCTCCTCCCTCTCTGCGCCGCTAACTCCACCACCCCACCGCCCCCAGCACCCCGCACACCCCTCCCCAAAATACCAATCATAGCCCCTGCAACCACAGTCCAGTTCACGACAAAGTCAAACACAACCTTCCACCCGAGCCCAACGTCCACCGCGCTCCCGGCAGGAGCCCATTTCGCCGACCTAATAGCCCCCGACCATGCCGTTGTGATAACGCAAAAGTGGTACACTTCCAACGCGCTCGTCGGCGGCCTCGTTGTGGCGAGAATGCGTGAACTGGGCGCTCCACTGGTGGTCGTGGACGGGCGGGTGCGTGACGTTCCGGAGTTGAAGCTCCCAGTGTATGCGCGTGGGACGAGTACTGTTGGTGCGGGGGCGGGGAGTAAGGTTGTGGGGGTAGGCGGGGAGGTGGTAGTTGGTGGGGAGGAAGGAGAGGGGGTTAGGGTTTGCGAAGGGGATTGGGTGTTTGCGGATGGGCAAGGGGTGGTCACTTTCCCCAAAACAGTATTGGAGAGGGTGGTTGGGTTAGTGAAGGGGGTTGTGCTGGCTGATCAGCAGGTGTTGGAGGATGTGCTTTGTGGGAGGGGATTGGCGGAGGCTTTTAGGGAGCATAGGGGATAGGGCTGAGATTGTCACCGGGTCCTGGGGCTGGTGGAGGGGGAAGAGGGACAAATACGAGTAAAGAATGGAAGAAGCAATACCGGCAGAAAGAAAGGGAGGAAGCTTACTTGTACTTGTATCGTACTAGTTACAGTACCGGTAATCCAACCCCCTCTTATCGCTAAACTACGGTACGGGGTTCTTTCTCCTATGTGACATGTTATCATACCTTGATGAGTTCTCTCTCCCTGACCTGAACTTCTTTGTTTCTCCACTCTCTGCCGATACTTTGTGTCCTGCCCCATCTATCACCAGAATCACAGAAAAAAAAACAAATACTCATACCGCAACCCTCCCATCGCTTAGCCATTCCTCTCTCCCATCCCACCAGTAGCCTCCTCCTCTTGACTTCAGTACGGTGCTCGAGCACAATGCAGGCGTAGCGGTAACCAATTCCAGCCCAATACCCACAAAACCAAGGTCCCATTGGTAGTCAGTGCTCCCGGAAGTGAAAATAATAACAAAAATGAGGAACGTGGGGTCCGTCCTAACCCAAGGTTTTCAGATACCGGTACGGTGCTCGTACGAGTACGGTACTGCACTGTATCCTTACGCTCGGGTCAAATTCGACAACACTATGCTCGAGCACTGGTGATTCCCGGGTTGAGGCGTCTCAGAGTGCCTATGCGAGCGGGCGAGACGCGCAGGGCTGCTGCTCGTGCCGCCTTAGAAATGGCCGGTAGCAGAGAAGCGAGCCAGGCGTTCATTTGGGTAACTCATTCAGTGGGGAGGTGTGTGAGAGGTGGTCAAGTGCTCGTAAATACCGGTAGGTTATGAGGATGGGGAGGGAAGTGCGAGTGTAGGATGTTTGTATTCTAGCACGATATGGTACAGTGCTCGAGTATGGTAGGCGAGGGTGAGAGGTTTCTCCCTCTTCACTCTGCTGCCGCCGGGTGTAGAGTGTTTGATGGAAGCAGGGTCTGGTTGGTTTACGAGGCAATATTATGATAGGATAGCGTTGCTTGTTCTCTTCCTCTCTTTGATTAAGGATTGATAATTATTGCTTGTAACTGCTACTGGTACTGGTACTCGTCATACAGCCAGGAAAGGCTGTGAGTACAGTACAGTACCGGCAGGGTAAAAATGTATTATCATACTTGTATGGGGCCGGTCAACAAAACCTGCCCCACTCAAAGTTCTCGGAGAATCCGGGCATTCCGATCAGCATCCGAGAAGAGAACCCCAAGAATAATAATCCCTCGTGTACTCCGGTAGAGAATTTATTTGCAAAGCCTATAAGGACTTTTTATCTTATCCCTACCCTATGAACGTGCCCGAAACCAACGACCGGAGTCTTGTTGAAAAGATGCCCAACATCTTCAATTCCAAAGCCAGCTAAGAGAGCGACGAACTTATATGATGGCGAGTTAGGTGAAATCGGGAAACCGTCGACCGGTTCCACCTCATTGTTTGAACAATTTCACTAGAGGAAATCGTACTCGTATTAGATCTCGAGAGGAAGCGTTCCCAGTTAAGAAATTTTGGATCGGGTTGGCCACGAGGTTAGGTTTTTGGCTTTTGGAACCAACAGGGAGCCTAAGGGAAGGGATATTTCTCTTTCCGTGAGGGGAGGAGGGCAGGGTGATTTTTTGGCTCTGTCGGGGTTCTGGGCCTTTGAAGGTTTCGTCAAGCTATAGTTATAATATCAGAACATGAAGAGCCCACAGCTACTTATTCCACCTTTACTCCAAGGTAACGGTACTGTACTGTACAGTACTTGGGAAGAGGGTAGCTCTTCTGAGAACCCACTATATTGTGTCGGTACTTGGCACCGTGCTTGCATGGTGCAGTATGTTGGAGTATGATGCATTTCTTGGTTGCGGTTATCACCCCAATGTTTCTCTTGCTCGTTTTGCATTTGCGAGCTAATTCTCCACCCAATTTTATGTATGCAAGCGATCATGGGGCAAATACCGTGGGGGGATGGCCAAAAATTGTATTTCTTATTCTTCCCGCTGTTCGGATACATTCAGTTAGCAGCCGTATTGCTGAAGCAACAAGTTGGGTAGCATGACATAGGGCATACAGCATACAACTCTCATCTATCCGTTGTGGAGTAACTTAACTGAGATTTCTCCTTTGCCCAAAGTTGTCTCTCAGCGCCCCCCCCCGGACGACTGGTTTCTTCTGCCTGGTTGTAACCACGCCGCCCTCCACCACACAATTCTTATGAGCATGCCCGTACCCCAAACCCCCAACCCAACCTGATCCCCATCGTTCTTTCCCACAGAGCAAAGCTCTTCCCTCCTTTGGTCCTCTTAACCACCTTTCACTCCAACCGCCACCACCACCCCTCAACTCCGCTTTCCCGCAACCCACTTTCGTATTCCAACACGAAGGGGAAAAAAAGAAAGGCTTTGCTCTAATCCCTTGTTCCTCCCTCCCCCGCCCGCGATAGGGCTTTAACGACTTTATCATCACCATCTTCGCTCTCTGCTGCCTGACGCGAGAGCGGATAAGTAATAACAATTATGGCTTCGAACAGTACACCTTCGCCTCCTCACCTTTCTACCCAGGAACTCAAGAACGCCGCTGCCGGAGTAGTATCGGAACCAGTATCGCTTCCTCGACCTCTCAGGAATTCGCAAAGCTTCAGGTTGGACGAAGGTTACAGTGGGGAGGAGACCCCTATCGTGTACGACGAGGCGAGCGGTCAAGATTTACGAACGGTTAGGGAGGGTGTGGACTTTAAGATTCCTCCTTGGATGGCGGGCTTGAATGATGCTCTAAGGGAAGGTATGCTAATTTTGTTTTCCCCATTTATCTAATTCCCTCGTCCCCAGCGCACCTCCTATCATTTTTCCTTTCTTGAAATATTATGTGAATGACTGCCTATTCCCGTATTTCGCTCCCTCTGCATGCTCGGTGGCCACTTCTGCCCCTAGTGATGGGAGTGTCGAATCCCTATCCCTTCTCTTTTGCCGCACCTTTTGTCAGAGCCTGGTGCTGTGTACTCGCTTTACCTGGTTCTAACAAGTGCGAACAGAATATGCCTACAAGCTCATACGCACCCTGCCCACTTCGCGTATTGCCTCACTGGTTGACCGTTTAGTTCCTATTCTCTATCTCGATTTCGTACAGATGCTACCCCCTGAACTGTCCCTTCAAATCCTGTCGTACCTACCCGTTCGCTCGCTCCTTAATGCATCTTTGGCCTCCCGAACCTGGAGGCGCTTTGCGCTCGAGCCTAGATTATGGAAAGATCTATACGAAGTGCAGGGTTGGAGGTCCAATGATTCGGAAATTATAAAGCTCGAAAATCAGCTGCGTGAGGGACCGGAAGACGACCTGAAGCAGCAGATGGAGGCGAAGAGGAAGGCTGAAGACCAGAAAGATGAGGAGAAGAATTTAAGGGATATTGCTAGGAGGAATTCGGAGAGATTTAGGAATAGCGTTGAGAAATCTGGTGTTGGGAGGTCTTCAAGCTCAAATTCTCCCGTTGCTATGGATACCGCTCAGGAATGGCCTTCCCAGACAACTAACACCGAGGTGGACATGAATAACATCACTCAGAGCACTGAAGGTCTAGACATGAGTTTCTATTCTAATGTATCTCACGATCCTGGGCCGATTCCAGGACAGGGAACCTCCGTTGCTCCCGGTTCTGCTGCCCCCGACGATGAAGAGATATTCTTGCCTTATACGGGCGCATCCAAGCCTTCGATGCCCCAGGAAACCTATCAAGAGCCTCCGCTTCCCATCGAGCCTACTTTGACTGTTCCTGGATACGGATCTCCCAGAGTCAATTGGGCATTTCTCTTCAAGTATCGAAAGCGCCTTGAGGACAATTGGATACATAATCGATATTCTACTTTCCAGATCCCCCATCCTGATTTCCCCACCGAAGGCCATGCTGAGTGTATCTATACCATTCAGTATTCCCCCAATTACCTTGTCTCTGGCTCCAGAGATCGTACTATTCGGGTTTGGGATATGAAAACTAGGAGATTGAGAGGTGAGCCGCTCAGGGGCCATACTGGTAGTGTCTTATGTCTACAATTCGATGAGAGCCCGGGCGAGGATATCCTGATTACCGGGTCTTCGGACGATAGCGTCATTATTTGGAGGTTTTCCACCGGGGAGATAATTAGGACAATCGAGAAGGCCCACCAGGAGTCGGTCTTGAACTTGAAGTTCTCAAAGAGGTGGTTGGTTACCTGCTCTAAGGATAAGCTCATTAAGGTTTGGAATAGACAGCAGCTAGAGACAACAGATCAAGACTATCCTTGGCATTCGAAGTTGCTATTCGGGACTGGTCAAACGATTCGAAGTCACCCGCACCACCCGGGAAGCCAGCGGGCACAAGCAGCGTGGGCCGTTCAGGATCCCGCAACTAGCTCTGGCTCTGCGCTTCGTAATCCTTTTGCTAGTGGCGCGTTTATTGGCACCAGGGCCCCATCAACGGGACCTGCGAAGACTCTTCCACCCTATACCCCTGTGCAAGTCCTTATTGGGCATGCTGCGGCGGTCAACGCTATCCAACTTCATGGGGATCAGATTGCCAGTGCTTCGGGTGATAGGCTCATCAAGTTATGGAACCTAAAGACAGGCACCTGTGAGAAGACTTTTGTTGGGCATACCAAGGGGATCGCATGTATCCAGTTTGACGGTCACACAATCGTTTCTGGAAGCTCCGATCAGACGATCCGAGTCTTCGACGGCAGAACCCAAGCGGAGATCGTAACCCTCTCTGGGCACCGCGCATTGGTCCGAACAGTTCAAGCAACCGAGAACCGCATAGTCTCCGGGAGCTACGATGAGACTGTACGCATCTGGAGAAGAGACATCGACGGCCAATGGACTGACAGCCACGTCCTCCGCCAGGGCGGACCAGAAACCCACCACCCCCGCCTTATCCATCATGCAATGCACCCAACAATGCCCGGCAACCCTCAACAAGGCGCCGTGCCTCAAACCCCGATCCCCCAAGCAGCCATTCAAATGCACCAAGTCCACACTGTTGGGCCTGCGCTCGCAGGCGCCGTGGCCGCAGCACAACTCCTACCAAACCCCCACCACCACCTCCATCACCAACCCCAACCACCACCACCTCCCCAGGCGCAGGCTCAGCAGCAGCAGACGCCGCCTACACATCCTTTACCTACGACCAGCGGTACCCACCGCGTGTTCAAGCTTCAATTCGACGCTAGGTGGATCATTTGCTGTTCGCAGGATAGCAAGATCATCGGATGGGATTTCGCGGCGGGCGATCAAGGCATTGTCGAAGCAAGTCGGTTCTTCGAAGGGGGGAATTGATTGATTGATTGATTCATCTGGGTGTTGTGATTGTCTTCTTTGCTTTCTTTCTAGCTAGCTAGGGTGAATTATGGATATCATTGTCCGATTTTTTTCGTTTGTCTTTCTTTCTCTACTCTTCTTACCTTTCTAGTAAGTCTCCTACGTATCATACCTACCTCATATTATTACTGGTTCACGGCCCGCATAAACATAACTTACTACACCCTTTTTTCCTTTTATTTCTTCTCATTTCTACCTCCTCTATCTCTCGTCCCGTCATGCATACCCTATTTTCGCAGCAAAAGAAATGGCGCAGTTAAAATGGATGGGTTGGTGTTTTTTTCCTCTTCCTTCTCCCTTCTTATGTCATGCCGGCACCATATCTACCTCGCCACCCTGCTATTAGCTACTAAACGCTACCCATACCGGTGGCAACTCTCGTTGTACTATCTCTCTTTGTTTATATTCCTGTTTAGTGAGGGGTTTCTCTTTCCAAGCTTTTTGTTTTGCTATAGTGCAGGGTGGTTTCTGCTGTTTTCCCAATCTCATTGATTTGACTTTTTCCTTGGTTAGCTTGGTGGTGGAAACGAATGGAAGGGAGAAAGAGGGAAGGATGGATGACGGGTTGTAGATAGTTGCTGAATTGGATATCGGTAGTATAGCCTTTGGGGGTGGGGGATTATGAATCTATGTTTATATTGTTATCACCCGTGTTTAACTTACCCTACTGTGCAGCAGTGGGATGAAGTTGGGGATGAGAGGATCACCCAGTGTCACCTGGTGTCACTCGGGTGGCGCCGTGGCGGATTATAGGTGGAGGTAGTTAAAGTAGGGGATGGTGGGAGTGCAGCGTGTTTACTCCTGCCGAGATAAGGTGGGTTATGGAAGTGTGATATGATGGCCGGGTGGTTTGGTTTGATTTGAGTGAATGGCTGCGCAAAAGCTCCATAGATAGCTTTGATTTAGCTGACTGCCACACATTTCTCCGCCGGACTACCGTGGGTGCATCTCATCTCTTCTCCCGGTGGCCGTGTCGGGGTGTTCAAGGGCTGAGGGTGCAATGGCATATCCCCAATGTTTCTCCGATGAAAACAAGTTGGCTCTCCGCTAAAGTTTCCCGGTGCGATGCGCGAGCGAGGGGAGACTTTGAATGGTGGCATCCGAAAAGGAAGGGGTGTTTCAGGCGCAGTGTAGGGAGGGGGGTGGATTGGTAAAGCACGAGGGCTCCCCCGGACGCCTCTCACTATCAAGTGAACTGTTGGTCTTGACCGCCTAGGGAATTTGCGATGGTGCCTTGTGGAGTGGTGAGCAGTGAGGTCGTATATAACCATTCCTACAGTACGGTATCCTTGGGGGAACTTGGGTCACACTAGTTACTCGCTTCCCCGCCGCTATCGACCCCCACGGTGCCCACCCGAAACCATGGCGAGTGCCCCACCATGCTCCTATAGTATTGCGATCCCTCAGCGCACTCCCAAGTCCCCGTCCCGTCGGAATCGCAGGCATGGCTAGGTAATCGCTGCCGGGCAAGATGCCATGGTCTACTAGGGGCACTGTACTGGAGTATCGCTCTCATCTGCGGTTTTTGTAGTTGTGGTTCTGGCTGGTATGGTTGGAGGTGTATGGGCTTTGGTTATTGGCGGGGGGGGGACGGTGGAGGAGCGCGGGAATGGCATATTTGGGGTCTTCCTGATTGGGTCTAGATCTGATGGTTTTTTTTTTTTCACATATGATACAATTAAATGTTACCGGCCAATTAGGGATTGGAAGGGTTCGGAGAAAAGTATTGATATTTTGTCAAATGTCGATGGGCGACATCTTAAGAAACCTCTCGATATCAAAGAGGAAGGCCTGCTCCTCTTATAGCGAGAGCTCAATGGGGTTACAGTAGCCAACCGGATATGCGGACAGGAAAGTGTCAGACATGGGACCGGATCAACCATACGCTATCAAGAGAGAATCTGGAAATCTTGAAATCACTCCCAACCCACGAAACTGAGCGCGAGTTCCCCTCGGTAGTGCCGGGGGTTTAAAATTCTTCATCCGGGGTTGTAATCTTGGCCTTTCGGTGCCACTCCAGAGGAATCATTTGAAGTGTGGAATATTATCGCTCAAAAAATCAAAAAATGTAGAACATGTTTTATATGTCCTCCCCCCTCCCCCCCCCCCCCTTCTCATACGAGTAGACCGCCTTCCCTTCCATTTCCGTGCAAGCGCACCCAAGTTCGAATGAGGCGGAAGTATTAATTCCCGCCTCTGAGAGCAATGGTGTACGTATCATGGCTTCTCAATCGGCCGCCAATGACGACGATGGTTGACACGTCTATTGGCGAATGTCTCCTCCTCCGAGAATATAAATAGGGGTTTTCCTATTATCTCCTTTCCATTCCTCTCCTCCTCCCTCCCTGTCCCAGAGTTCCCTCGTGCAAAGGCCCATTAAAGGATACAGGCACCATGCAAGCGAGTGATATGAGATGTTTTAAAATCGCCACAACGAAAAAATGAATCACGGGTGATTTTCAATGATTTCGATATTTACAAGGGATAGATACCTATGTTTCAGAAGAGCTCTAGTCAGTATTTCCCTCTTTGTATGAAACAGTACCTGCGGTCGGCCAGTTGGAACCCCCACGGGTTCCCGGTTTTTATAAAAAAAAACCCCCTCTTCCCCCTTTGGTGTTGTTTTTTAAAAAAAAAGTTAAAAAAAGGCCCTAATAACCCCCCCCCCCCCACACACACATACATCACTCTTAAAAAAAGGGATAAAAAACTAGACTCCCAGGGTGTAATTTTTACCAACACTCTTTCCCAACACTCAGTATTTATTTACTGGGCTAAAAATCCGATTATCACTATTTTTTCCTTCCTCACGAACCACCCCCCCCCCCCAACCGCTCGTGTTCCGTTTCGCTGCTCCGTCACCTTCTACAATCATCCAGATAATAATATTATGATAAATAAATCTCCACGGAACGGCATTGTCTTCACAATGACTCACTCGCGACCCACAATTGTGTGACGTAGAGGTTTCCCCCCCCCCTCCTTCCCCGTCCAAGGCCAAACCATAGTCTATGTCCCGTCCGCCATACATACATATCACACATACCGGCACATGTGTTAATCAGCGCGAGCCCGCGCTCCCCCCCCAATCCTCTTCTCCCTCCCTCCCTCCGTGCTCCGAGCCTCCGATCACGGCAGGTAATTATAGACAACCCCACCGCGCTCAGCGAATCATGTGCGATGCATGATAATGTATGATCTCCGGCGAAGGGGTGGTGGTAGGTGGTACGTGCGTCGGGGTGGAAGCGCGGGGGTGGGTGGGTAAAATAAATGGAAATCGTGGCAGTGGGGTGGGGTTAATTTGTTTCCGCGCATTTGTTTCCTATCACAGCGTCGGTGTGACCTATGATTAATACGGCGCATGGTACACGATGGCGTTTATCAGAGAATACCAAGAAGGTGACTTTGATGACATTGTTGAGATTGTGTGACTTTCCTTTTCCTCTTTTTTTCCTTTCTTTACGCAATAATAATAGGTACTCCTCTTTTTTGCGTGTGTGCTGACAGTAAGTAAAATCACGGGGGGGGGTTAACAGTGTAAACTTACAGCCCACCCATCGACACACTCATCTGCAGATATCCTCCCGTATATATACGCAATACCCTACATAAGGCTGGAACCCATCCACGCCTTCGTCCTCGATGCCGGCAGTTCAGACAGCTCGAGCGGGAGGCGGGTAGTCGGGTACATCATTGGGACCCCCGACACGAACACCTTCGCTGAACGTTACAAAGAGGCATACCTCCCCACCCTACCGCCCGCCATCGCCAACACCACCACCGCCGACACTCCTGCGACGGCCCAGGCCGACGATGGCGATGGTGATGAGCTGAGGCGCATGTTTGGGAGGATCCTCCTGAACCCGGAGGATATGCTGCATCCCGCCACCCCCGACTTCATCCCGTGCTACCCGGCACATCTGCACATCAACATACTGCCGGGGTTCCAGAGTAAAGGGTTCGGCGGGAAATTGATGGAGAGATTCTTGCGCGGGTTGAGAGCTCGTGAGACTGGGGTTTGCGGTCTGCACTTGGGCATGCGGCGGGATAATGTTGCGGCTGGGAGGTTCTACGAGAGGTGTGGGTTTAGGCTGCATGAGGAGTTGTCTGATGAGCATACTGCCTTGATGGTTAAGGGGTTGGAGGAGGTGGGGGGCGAGGGGGCGAAGAATCAATGGTAAGATGGGGAATGAAAGGGGGGTATTGGCCATGGCGAAAGTAAGGGTGATGCCATTGATCACCGTGGGGTCTGATAACCAGGGGAGAAGACTTGTACTTGTACGTAGGTATTGTCTACAGTAGGGGGAAGGCGAATTGTATCGAGGGTTCCTTCGCACGAGTACAGTACTGTGCCATACCGATATCGGTATCTCTCCATTCAGTATCATAATTATCAACAGATGCTCCATAAGATTACCATGATATAAAAACATCAATCAATCAATCAATATCCTTACAAACAAAAATCACGAGATGACCAACAGAAATTCCACCTCTGCTCCCCCCCTATCGTCCCCCCTATTCTAGATAACCCCATAACACTTACCAGTACTGTACCTATCTACGGTATCTAACCTTCAACAAACCTTATCACCCACCACCAAAAAAAAAAAAGAAGCCCCTTCCAGAAAGTCACACCTTCCCCTTCCCCCCACTCTGCAAGTAACTACTCGAGTATCTGATCAGAACTGGTTGGGTGTAGACCACTGAGCAAGTACCCGCACAAAAGTGCAAAAAAGCAACCATAACGCACGCAACCGAACCGAAAAAAAAAACCCACTCTCCAAGCAAAAAAAAAATTAAAAAAAATATGACAAAACCCCCTCTGAAACATTCACGCATTCACATGTCCAGAGAGTGAGTGACGTTTTCCTCCGCCCGTAGAACACGTCCGCGCGCGCTGGCCCCAATTGAACCGTCCATTCGTTGGTGAGGGATAGACGGGATTTGGCATTGGGGGTTTGGTGGAGGAGTGCCGGTACTGTATCTTATGGTTGGGTGTGGGAGCGGCCGAATGGAAGGAGGGAGGGAGGGAGGGAGGGAGGGGCGGAGCGGGTGCGGGAATGTGCAGATATGGTACCTTGTGCTGTACTCGTACGAGTACAGTACTGTACTGTACGGTACTTGAGGAGTTCGGTGTTGAGGGCTGAAGTGGATCAAAAAAAAAAGGGCGAGATGGAGGGGTTCCTGGACGGATAACATAACACAATACGTAGATCATAAATTCCGAGTTGTGTTAAGGGTGCACTATTAGACAGGGTAACTTTTACTGCCTGCCGTATGATACCGTATACCATCTACTCGAGTACCGGTACCGTAGTATAATCCATTTGTGTCTGAACAAATGCAAAAAAATCATGAAAGAGTGGTACAGTATCGTACAATCAAGCAAAACCTTTCCAAGGATCTAGTAAAAGCGATTTCATTTCAAAATCGCATGCCCAGAAAATTCTGAACGCTGATTCTTAGAGTATTCCTTCAGTAATGAAATAAAATTATACATTCATTTTCCTCAATGTACTATATATCCCATTTTAGCTACTGCATATAACTATCAGCTGTCTCCCGATATGATATAGGCAAAGCCCAATCTCATAATATAACTCCCACAAGCCCGCGATGATCTCTACTATTAGACGCCCAAAGATTGGGGCTCCCCGGTGGGCAACCGGTAGGAGACAGGAGCCCAGCAGGGACGAGAGCCGAAAAAAGAGAGAGATAGGACCCAAAGGGTACCTGAGAGCCCGTCCGGAGGAGATAAGAGCTCGCAGGAGATGGAGACCTACCGGTAGACAGGACAAAGTCAATGTACTTAAACTATTAAATTAATAGTCCCCCCCCGTTCTGGACTAAGAAGGAGCTAGAAAGGATGAACTGGCTCCAGTTTTGGTCTCATTTTGCGGGAAGCCTGTGCCAAGCACATCCTTGTACTCGAGTACGGTGCTCGTACAGTATGATACTAGTACTTGTTGCATACGGTAATGGGAGATGGGTCGGCACAAGTGGTATTCGGTGAAATCGGGAATGCACTGAGATGAAATGGGGTCGAGAAGTGCGAATGGGATGATAATGCATACTCCCTTCCTTCCTTCCCTCCTCCCCCGACAACGTGGGAGTGGGGGAAGGGGAAGGTAGTGGCTCGGTAAAGGGGAGGTCAGGTGTTTTTTCTTCTTTTTTTGATCCTTTGGGGATGCCGGTGCGGTATGTACCAGCACAAGTACTCGAGCACAAGCATTATGGTGGTTGAGGGAGGGACTGCAGGTGCGTGTGCGTGTGTGGGGGGGGTATGAAGGCATATGTGCGGGATTGCGGAGAACCCTTTTGGTGCGAAGGTCGGATTTGGGTAGTGGTGTTATTAGAGTGTTGTATTGTACGAGTGCGGTATCATCCCGGAGAAGTCGGTTGGTGCCGGGGAGAGGGGGTCGGAGGGTGGTGTGCACTGCGAGGTGAGCACTGTGAGGTGAGAAAGGTAGGCAGGTCAGTCGGAAGTAGACTACCGTAAGTAAGATGTCGCATTGGAAAGGAGAGATGGCTGGTTTTGGCTAGGGTGAGAGCGCAGTAGTTAAAGAAAGGGTGATATATCCTGGATGCTGGAGGAGCACGGAGGCGGCGAAAGCGGCGGTGATATCTTCTGCCATTGCGCCGCACTGTGACATCCCATTTATAAGTAAAGCTAGTATCACGATTAAATATGATACAATAACTTGCCCGCGCGTCCCCCGAAAACTAGCTAGTTGCTCGAATAAATCCGTATGATACAATACAAAACCATATATTCCTGATACTACGAGTAGACAAACAAACAGGCAGATAAACAAACAAACCCCCCCGGGCTATCTCTCTCCGAAGTATTCGTCTATCTGAAACCATGTCTTGTATTGTCTTGTCTTGAATCGGAGGATTTATTGATTGGTCATGTTAAACTTCCAGATTTCTCCTACCTATTTCTATTTACCTTCCTTCCTTCCTTCCTTGGTCCTTCTCACCTATTTTGACCACGATGGCTGTTGCCGAGGTGGTCCAATTACCGTACCGGTAGCTTGGTATATTTTCACTGGGTAGTATAATTGGTGGGAGGATTGGGTGAGTGAGCGAGTGGATAGATAAATGATATGGTAAGCACTGAAGGTGAATGGTACTAGTATGGGATAGATAATGCTGTGCCCGCACTATCCTGTACTAGTACTGTACTGTACGAGTACAGGTACGGTACTCGTACTCGTACGTATTACAAGTAAGTCGGCACAAGTCCGTCTCACCCATTAATTAATCAGTCCTCCGAGGAAAGGGTCAACCTTACCAACATCACGGGTTTTTCATAGGGCGAAGCACAATACCGGTCCAGCGCCAGTACCGGTAGACCTTGGCCCGCGCTTTTCTCATTTTTAGAAATAAGTTATCAGCTCCAATTCTCCATGCGGAGGCCAACTTACCGGTACCGGTACCGCAACCTGCCGGAATTCCCTTTTTTTCTACGCGGTAAAGTGAAAATTCCTCTTTAGGAAAGAGAGCTATGGGTGTATCGGGATTGGCTCGAGCTTAGATCTTCCCAATCGAAGCACAGCCAGTGCTGAGAATGGAAGAAAAATTTTCCGCTAACCACGCTGCGGGCATTGGATTGTGGCACGACAGGTAGAAAATACTTTATTATCCCTATGACTTTTTTTTTCTCGCAGTTGATATCATACGGTGACACAACTATGGCACTGTGGCCTCTGCACCAACCGCGAAGAGAAGAGGGAGAAGAGGGAGAAGAGGGATGAGAAAGATCGTTTCTTCTTTCTTTCTCTTATCCTCATCCTTTATGAACCTGAACCCCCCCTCTCCCCGCTCCACAAGGGCAAGTACTGTATGTACTGGTACTTGCGCCGATCGAGTTCACGATAGTGTATGATACCGTAGTCTAGGTGTCGTAGAACCAAATTAAAACTTTTGGTACCAGTCCAGGACAGTGTGATAAGGTGAATAAGAGTGGGAGTGAAAAAGAGGAAGGGAGAGAGCAGGCTTCAGTAAGTCTCTTTCTCTGCTCCGTTCCGTTCCGTTCTGTTCACCTGGTTTTCCCTATTCTCCTCTGGGAATTTTATTCTCTCCCTTTCCTTTTCAGAATACGATCAATCAATCGCTACCATATCACACAAGTACTGTACCCCCCCCCTCTCTCTTTCTATATTTTTTATTAAAAGGCTTCCTATTTCGCTTTTTCTCGAGAGGAGGTTTTTCCCCTTCTTCGGCTCATTCCTGCAGCTCGTCCCTCGCATCAGTCAGGTTGAATCTGCCGTAATCGTAAACCGTTCGGTTTGTTCACGCTCGGTCCGTCTCGGCATATCATTGTTCGTACTCATTCACCAGGAAACAGGCAGTAAAAACTTTTTCTTCTTCCCCGCCCCCACTGCCGGTGCTCGCTTTTTCTCTTTGTTTGTGGTGGGTGTTATGGAAAATATGGAGTGAAATATAGTGAAATAGAGTGAAATGGGAGGGAATGAACTCTTTGCCGGTAGTTTCTTCGCACAGACTTAAACGTTAAAAAAGGAAAGGAACGAAAAGGAAAAAAAAGTAGCGTCTTTCTTTCTCCTTTCCCTTACCTTCCTTACCCTTTTCTGTTTCTTTTTTTCTTTCCTTTTCTTTTACGAGCGCTGTTACCGTTTTTTCCATCCTTACCCTGAGAAAGGGTTGATTTTCTGAGCCAAGCGCAGGGCAAATAATGTGAAGCAGGGTTTGAGGCTGGCCTGAAACGACTTGCAGCAGCAACAGATCTACAGACGAAAGGGGCCGCACCCAAAAGAGAAAAAAAATTGAACTGACTAGATGGGTTTGGATTGCTGCGGCGGTAGTGAATTTGGTGATTTTTTGCAGGGGAGAAGGAGACCGAAGAGAGTACTCGAGTAGAGAAGGGAAAAGGCCAATTATTGTTAGCATCGAGAGGAAAGTTATTGAGTGGCAGAAGGAGAAAAGAGGGACCGAGTGATTGGATCGAGACTCGAGAGGGAGTCAGAAGTCAGGATCAAGATCCGTGGAGGGTTAGCGACGGATCGCAGGAAAGTGCGTACTCGAGTACAGTATCAGTTACGGCTCAGCGCAATAGTGCAAACCAGTTTCAACCTAGTGGGAAAGGGGGAAAGGAAGGGAAAAGTGCGACGTTGAGTGAGAAGAGAGAGGGAGAGGAGGGAGAGGAAGATAGGGTAGGTTACGGTAGTGATAGGATAAAGAGAGGTGCGGAGGTTCTAAAAGGAGTGGGAAATACAAGAAAGGAGCAGATTCAATTGGCTGCTGTAGTTGTCGTCGAATGGGAGAGCGGAGAGCACACTTGACCTGATCAACTCCACTTCCAAGAGCAGCAAGCAAGCACCTGGGGAAGGAAATCGAGCGAGCACTGGGCAACGCTACAATACAGTAGAGTACAGTATTTGCATCAAGCTAGCAGCATCACCTTCTCACCACCTCTCTCACTTGCGCGAGTCAAGGTCAGGAAGGAAGAAGAAGCCAGAGCAAAGCAAAGCAAAGCGGGAGGCAGGAGGAGAACAAACAAGCGTCCCGCATCATAGCAGAGAGGCAAGAGGCGAGAGAAACGCGAGAGAAACGGAGGAGCTGCAAGAGGAGGACAAAAAAACAAGAAGCAGAAAGCGAATCAGCATCGTTATCACCGCCATTATCTTCTACAGTGCTCGTACATACTTTTCGCTTTCCCTCTCATCACTTGCCTTTTTTTCCCATTCTACGCGGATTCCCTTCCATTAACGTATCATAGCTGCTACACTTCTCATTCCAACCTTCTGTCCTACTGCCTGTCCTCTCCTCCCTGTTGCCGTTGTTATTTCCTATTTTGGGGCCCCACCGCTACAGTACGGTACTGGGGTACACAACCCATCCACCCCCCCCCCCCCCTTTGATCCAAGTTACTCTCTCTCATCCAGTCGGTTCTTCGTTCTTCAATAACCAGAAACCCAGGATAGAGGTAACTGTTTCTGCACCGCACAACCCTCTCTACCTTTCATTTACCCCCCCCCCCAGTACCATCATCCAAGCGCCCGGCATCGACCGCCTTCGCCCGCCCCGCGCACGCAACAGCTTGCTATTTAAAATTCGGCTACACCATCAGTATTATTCTACCGGTATCACCCACCGAAGCAGAGAGGTTTGTAGTCTCTCCATTTTTTATTTTTTTCTACCGAACGTTGTGAGAGAAAAACGAAACGCAACGTAACCCGAAGGGAAGCGATCAAGAAAAAGAAGGACGGAAGAGAGCTCACGTAACTTAGACAAATAGGTTTTGAGATGTACGCTGATGCAGCGGTGGTAAGTCCCCCCCCCTTCTGTTTTTTTACCATACTGTACTCGTACCAGCACTCTCACTTTCTTTCTCTCCTTCCTGCTCCTGGTTCCCTGTGCTTGGCTATTTCCACAAGCCCCCTACCACCCGGACACAACCATCCCTCCCCCCCACCTTCCCTTCAATATCCATCTATTTGCTGCACTGAACGGTACACTTGCACTACCCCCCAGCCGCCGTTTCCTTCTCGAATCTCTTATCTTCTTTCCCATCCTTTCCTCACCTACCTGCTTCCTACCTTCTACCATTTTTATTTCATTTTTGCATCCATTGGAAATAACAGAATCAGCACGAAACGGCTGGTTTTTCTGTGGAAGAAAAAGCACGCACTCCCTACCTGAGCATAACTTACATAGCTTCCAACCGTCAAACTGACTTCAACCTCAACCCTACAGTTCGCCTCTGCGAGGCTTAAGCCCGCGAAGACACGGTTGATGACCGTTGAAATCGATCAAGCTACCCTGCTACGTGCCCAGACTGCCCCGGCAGCAATGAACGGCCATCCACAAGTTCCCATTGGGACACCATCCATCATGTCTTCCACGACTACTTTAGTTTCAAACCATAGCGGAATCATCTCGCCTACGACTAGTCTGATGTCGACGCCCGTCGGAAATGACTCGCTCATCAACAAGAAAGCAGATCCTGCTCAGGGTCTTTATCAAACCTGTGTGGCCTTGCGGGAGCGTCTAATGCTCGTACCCGATTTCGAGCAATTCCTAGAACCCCTTCCAGGTGCCCTCGAGGATCCGGTCTCGCAGCTTTGGAGGTGCTTTAGGATGGGGTCTAGTCTTTGTGTTCTGTTCAACGCAATGCGCCCAGTTTCTTTGATTGAAGATTCGCGATGTCAACTTAACCTTGGTAGCGCGAACGATTGTAAAGCGGCCACTTATCACTTCCTTCAAGGAATCAAGAAGGAGCTCAACATTCCCGACTCCGAATCTTTCATGATCCATAATCTCTATTCAGACGATACGAACGGCTTTGTGAAAGTATGTTTGTCTTGTCTTTTCTTTTCCTTTTTTTCCACTAATTTATTTTTATCTGGGGGGGGGGGGCATCGCGCCACAGTTTGATTCCCGCCATGCTTCTGGCCCCAACAGTTTGAATATAGTGCCTGTGGTCGGAAAATTACACTTTCCTAACGGTTTCGGAAATTAGGTCACTAGGACGGTTAGCAGAATCTTGGACGAGCTCAAGAAGCGGAATCTTCTGTTGAACAAGAAACCTTCCGATACCAATCGCAGTTCTTCAGAACGCAAACCGCTCGATAATAGAGCTCGTGTTGTGCAAGAGCTTGTCGATACGGAGCGTAAATATGTGCAGGATCTCGAAACTCTGCAGGACTACATGCGTACGTTAGAAGCCGATGAGGTTATCTCGAAGGATCTTATTCATGTTCTCTTTTTGAACTTGAACCAGCTTGTAGACTTTCAGCGCCGGTTTCTGATCAAAGTGGAGACTCAGAATGATCTTTTGCCGGAGCAGCAGAGCTGGGGAGCTTTGTTTGTGGAATACGTGAGTTGGATCGTTGTTTTTACTACCAAGGATGGCTTTTGATTGTGCTTTTGGTGCAGTGTCGGGAACCCGAAGAAAGACCACAGAATAATGGTGATCCCATTGGACGTCCTACATTCCAGGAAACCTTTGCTGTCTACCAGCCTTATGCTTCGAATTTTAAAAATGCCCAGGATTTGGCTATAGAAGAGAGGGCTAAATTGGAGAAGAAGCCGCATCCTGTTTATGATCAACTTAATGCCTTCTTGATTAAACCTATTCAGAGAGTCACCAAATATCCATTGCTATTGAGGGTGCGTTTGTTCGTTTGGTATTTGGGCTGTTCGAGGACCTAATGCGCTCTGTAGGATTTAATAAAGCAAACCGATCCTCTGGAAGCCGAAGACCAAAACTTACATCAGGGGCTCGAAGCAATTGAAAACATCAATAGAAAGATTAACGAAGCGATTCGAAAATCCGAGAATGCTGAAGTTGTCAAGGATCTTGAAGGTAGGGTTGAGGACTGGAAAGGGCATAAGCTTGAACACTTCGGGGAACTGTTGCTCCATGGTCAATTTTCCGTCATTAAGGGTGACCCAAAAGGTGACGTTGAGCGGGAGGTTTGTAACCTATAGATTTTTTGGGAACGGGTCTTTGCTAATGTTGTAGTATTATATATACTTGTTTGAGCGGATATTGTTGTGCTGCAAAGAGGTAGGCAAGGATAAGAAGCAAAATAGGGCAATTGGTGTCGGGAGACCGCGACAGGGAAAGAAGCGGACTATGCTGCAACTTAAAGGTAGAATCTTTATGCAGAATGTTACCGATGTTATATCCTTGGCAAAAGGCGGTAAGTTTATTCACCAACAGCCAAAGCGGTTGCGCGAGGGTTTTTTATATATATATATTGATAGTGGATTATAGGGTCATATACTCTGCAGATATTCTGGAAAGGTGACCCTGGTGTTGAAAATTTTGTTATTCGACACCCTAACGAGGAGCGACTCGCGCAATGGAATTCTATGCTGCAGAAGCAGCGAGAGGTATTCACAAGAGCAGGGACACCGGGTAGCCGTAACGGGGGTCGTACGGGTGCGGGTATGAGAGCAACTGCAACCACCGAGTTCGCTTGGATGGCCAATTCCGACGCCACTGATCAAGACAGAAGGAGTGAAGACGAGCGTTCTGAAGATGAGGAGGATGTTGATGATTCTCACGATACTGCCACACTTATCGGTACGCCGAGTTCTGGTTTCAATATGAGCCGTAACGGCTCAAGTACAAGTTTGAGATCGCGAGCAGCTACAAATGAGAATTTAATACAACCTCCGGCGCCAATGGGAAATCTCCCGGGAACATATGCTAGGCCCCCTCCAAGGTATCCTCAAACGAGTGTTCCCCATCAGCCCCCGCTTACCCTTAATACTGGTGTCAGCCCCATATCCCAATCCCCCGAACGAAATGCCTCCTACTTCTCCCCCGTAACCGAGACTCCCTTGACATCACGCACAAGTTCTTCGAGCCAATTCCCGTTCCCTCGACAAACATCGACTGGATACTATGAAGAACCGCACCGCTATGGGACTCCCACTATGTCTCGGTCCACGTCTAGGGAAGGCGCCGCAATTGCCGCAAGTCAGGCTGCCCAAGCTCAGTTTGCCCACCACCAAGCTAGCCAGCGCTTACAAAGACCCTCACTTCCAGGTATGGCCCCATCTGCTTCCGCCACAGCAACTTTGCAACAAAATCGAATGCGATCGGCCAGTAGTCCCAACATCCATCATGTTCCGAGTCAAGCACAGCTCGCCCGTTCCCCCAATGGAATGATTCCTCCCATGCCATCTGTTCCGTCGAGTTATGTTGCGTATAGCGGCGGTCCAGCTGTGATAAACCGAAGTCAGAACAACTCGCCCACATCCCCCAATCTATCAATGCAGGGTGCACCAGCCAGAAATGGCTCACCTGCAGTCCAGGACGGTCATCATTCAAAGCATAACGGTAATGTTGCAAATGGAAGTTCCAAATCTCACTCGCAGGTAAAACTTAAAGTTAACTTCGGCAATGACAAATTCGTCATAATTGTTCCCTACAATATCCCTTATGTCCAATTGATGGATCGTATCGAGCGCAAGGTTAAGCTCTGTGGGTCAGGACCAGAGATAGCTTCTGCTACGAATCTCAAGATTCGGTATCGGGACGAGGATGGCGATTATATCTCGATGATTTCGAATGATGATGTGCTGATGGCTTTCGATGCGCCTGGGGAGCCGGGGCAGAATGATAACACCGGAATTTCGGGAGTGGTAACACTTTATGTGTCGGTATAGGTATTCAGTATATTTCAAAGTCCAGGGGGTTGTGGAGGGTCTTCAATTGTGCATTGTTTCATTGGCTTTTGCTTTTCAATTATTTCTTGAGGCGATCAAGGGTGTGTGGCGTTACGAAAGTCTTTCTGAAGCTTTGTCGGTCGTTGTGAATTTACCAGTGACCCTCCTTTTTATTTTACTTGCCTTGCCTTTTCTTCTTGTTATATGTCTTATTCGCAATGTTTGGGGGGCAGATATCTTATTGTTCTCATTTATTTATTTCGCAATATCACTATTGGCTGGAATTGGGGAAAACGTGGCTTCGGATGGAATTCGGTTCAATATCAAGCCGGGAGGGAAGTTTTGGGGGAGGATGGTTTTTTTCCCGACAAGCAAGAAAGCAGGCAAGAGATAGCGAAATGGTAGTGGCTTTCGCTGAATGGAAATGGTCGGTTTGGTCTTTTTTTCTTTTTCTTTTTCTTTTTGTCTGTTTGTCTTTGACTTCGGGGCCAAACTGCAATTTATATCCATCCTCAGGCTCTCCAGAAGAGAAAAAGGAATTGCGCTTCTTCCATCTGAGATCATGGAATTTGTCTTGTGTTTATCTTTTTCTTTCTTTCCTTGCTTTTTCTTTGCTCGGACTGAGCGCTTGCTCCTCACTCACCTATTCTCGCTCGTCCCCTCATACCTGTGAGACCTTACCTGCTTACTCACTTACTCACTTCATCCTCATCATTCACGTTCACATTCACACTCACTTCAATACCCGGGTCACCGCTTCGGAAAGCAAAAAAAAAAAAAAAAGCACAAAAAAACAAGAACGATACAGAACAAGACATAAAACGGCCCGGTCGGACCATGCGCGTGGGAAAAAGATCTGCTCTTTTTTTCATTCAAAATTTTTTTTTTTTTTTTTTTCATTCAAAATTTTTTTTTTTTTTTTTTTCAATAAAGTCTTGGGTGTTTTTCCTTTTTACAAATTAAGAGATGGCTTCCTCGCGGAAAATTGGGTTTCATTACTTTTCTATTTGTATTTTTTTCTCTTTTTTGAAAATTTACTTGAGTAGTTTGAATGGATGGATTGTGAAGAAAGAATGGGTGGGGGAGTTAGGTTAATATACGATTTTATACCCGTTATTTGGTTTGGCGGGTGAGTGAAGGGGGATGGCTGTGGGAGGAAACGGAGCTGCCGTAGTTCGATATCCACATTACAAGTATCGTATGATACATCGTGGGCTTTGTTTCTTGGTTGAATTGTGCAAGGTGGGTTTTGTTCGTGTTCACGCTTTCTCACTCGGGGGCTCTTCTCAATTTTCTTTCGCCCTTTCCTCTCTCTGCTTCCTCAGGTTACATATCACGCTTCCTCTCCCTTTCCTCCCCCCCTGTTTCTCCTTCGCTTGTCAAAATTAGAATATCCAGAACTTAGAAATATGAAGTTTGCTCATCATGTGCTATACAGAAAAAAGCTATCGATAAGAATGGTGATAAACTGTCCCGTTCTGTTAGGGAAATAAGAGCTGACTGATTTTTGAGTCACTCTAGGACGATGGGTGTATTTGCATCACTCGCTGATATCTCCTGCCTTTTCTGCGGCGGCGGGTTCGCGCCATCGGGACCCGCGGATGGATAGCTCTCCTTGCGCTTTGCACCAGGGGTGAGGGAACCCTCCGGGTTATTCACCATGCCACCTGCCATTAGCTTTGGAGCTCCCACTGGGGCTGGGTACTGGGTGCCAGCGAGATTGTCCATAGAAACGCCACCACTCCCCTCCCCCGCCTTCTCCTTCTCCTTCTCCTTCTCATCTCTCTCCCTCAAGGACTTGAAAAACTTCTCGGCCCGGCTCTCGGTGACACCAGTCTTTTTGGTCCTCATCTGATCCTTATCATGGACGACATCGAATAAACCTTGCTCATCGATAACGTCAATGCCCAAGCTCCTTGCCGCTTGAATATCCGCTGGGTCCGCGCCTTCACCGACGATAATGTAATCGAGGGGCTTCTCAATGGGGACTTTTTGACGTTTGCCTTTGCGGAGGAGGGCACTATCACCAAGTCAATTCTCGCTTTCTATATATACCTGCTGTGCGCGCGCGCGGGGGGGTGGGGGCGGGGTGGGGGGGGGGCGACGAGGGAAGACATGCCCGCCACTCTCTCTGACAATCTCCTCAACCTCGTTTATCGTCAACCACGGCAGGGTCCCGAGAACGACGAATACCAGATCTTCAAGACACCCGGGTTTGGCAAAGTTCATGCGCTTACCGATCGCGTTGCTGCGGATGTAGGAGATAAAGCCGGGCTCGTAGATGTGCCCGGTTTTGTTGCCGCCGTATATAACAAAATAAGTGCCTTCGGAGCCGGCTTGGAGGGTGTGAGTTGGAGTTTCGTTTTGCTCTGCCATTCGTCTGGTTTGAGTTAGTAGGCGGGGGGCGTGACGAAAGGGGATGGGAGGAGGGAGGATGTACCCGCCATGACTGATGATCAAAGCTTTTGCTTCCGCCTCTGTGAATTTTCGCAACTGACCTTCGAATTTCCAGGTTGTCTCTTTGAGGGCTTCGGTTTCCCAGGGGTGGAGTGTTGTCGTAGCTGCCATAGCTGTTGCTGAGGAGGAGGATGCCATTGTTTCTGATGGTGGTAGTCGGTACTGGTGGTAGCCAATACGGATGGTGGTGTTGGTGGTGGTGTTTGCAAAAATGTTTGCAGGAGGTCAATTGCGGCTTTTGGGGATCTCTGAGGAATTTACTCGAACACTCCATCCAACCACTCAGGGGTGAGGCCTCGGGCTTAAATGGAAGGGGGAGAGGGCTAGAGTGAGACAACGTGACTGAAGGGATGGAAATCACCCATGACGTAGGTGACGAGCTAGTTACCCTACTTGCCAAGACTTGTGGGGAGTGTCGGTGCTCGAACCTGAAGCCCAGGACTCGAGTAACTTACTCGTAATGGCCCGGTGGGCCCTTTGGATTTATCGTGGGAACTATTTTTCGTCATCGTAGTGCTGATATAAAATATCTCACGTCGGCGCCGAACTGCTCACTTTTCAGAATGTCGCCTTCACGGGGCCTTATATTTGCAAGGACGGTATCCCGCGCGCACCAGCGACAATTCCGGCGCTATCAAAGTACTTTCAGAACCTTCTCGGGCTCGCAAATACCGGTGCAAGTCTACATCTCCAAATCGAATAATCCGTACCTCAACCTCTCGCTCGAGCACCACCTCTTCCAGACTACTCCCCCCAAGATTGCCACTCTTCTAATATACACCAATAGTCCGTCCATCGTCCTGGGACGGAATCAGAACCCGTGGGTCGAGGTCAACCACCCGCAATTCGCCTCGACCTTTAACCCTCCGCTCATCGTGCGCCGTCGTTCTGGCGGTGGTACGGTCTTCCATGATCTGGGTAACGTGAACTACTCCGTCGCCATGCCGACATCCGCCTTTTGCCGTGACAAGCATGCGGAAATGGTCGTGCGTGCGCTGCGCAAGCTAGGTGTCGCAGAAGCGGTGGTGAACAAGCGGCACGACATCGTGATCTTGCCGGACGGGATGACGGTGGAGGAAACGAGGTTGACTCGGGAGGTAGTGGGTACCAAGAAGGTTTCTGGGAGCGCTTATAAGCTGACTACCCGCCGGTCGTACCATCATGGGACAATGCTCTTGGAGAGTAGGTTGGAGGATGTTAGGGGCTATCTGAGGAGTGCTGCTAGGGAATGGATAAAGGCTAGGGGGGTGGATAGTGTCAGGAGTATGGTTGGGAATGTGCGAATTGAGGGGGGGAAGTTTGTGGGGGCTGTTGTCGAGGAGTTTGGGAGGATGTATGTTGGTGAGGAAGGGATGGAGATTCTTAAAGATGCCATGGCGAGTAGGAGGGATAGGATAGATGGGGAAGTGGGGGTTTGTTGGGTTGGAGAAGAGGCGGGCGAGGTTGAAGAGGTACAAAAGGGGATTGCGGAGTTGATGGTGAGTTCTAGAGTTTATGGGAGGGTTTTATATGCTGAGCTTGTGGTGTAGTCTCTGGAATGGATTTATGGACAGACACCGCAGTTTACGTTTTCTGTGCCGGCGCCGAAAGCGGGTGACGAGTCTATACCGCCTCTCCCTCAATCGAAGGACCCACTGCTAAGGGATGTTACTACTCCGCCTGTATTACAGCCCCCCGAAGGCTCAGAACTGGAAATAACAGCCAATAAAGGTATTGTTCAGTCTGCATCACCCCCTCTGGAGAATCTTGTCGGAAAAAGATTTGATGGCGGTATCATCGCCGACGAACTCAGGGCCAGTGGTAAATCACCCTTGGGAAAATGGGTTGAAAGTGTCCTTGGCAGAACCCCATGGAGCAGTATAGGCCCTTAGATGCCGCACCGTATGTAACAGCCCGCTACTCTCGCGTAGCCCATATCATGTACTAGCACAGCACATACCAATCTGTAGATCACCCAGGGAAAAAATACTAAAAATGAATGAAGATGCCCCCCACTTCCCTAATGTATTTACTTGGACCACCGATCCTTCTCTCATCTCATCGCTTATTTGTTCTTCGACATCTTATAATTGAACTTCTTCCGTGTGGGCGCAAACTCTCCAAGCTTGTGTCCGACCATCTCCTCCGTGACCATGAACTCGACATAATCCTTTCCATTATGAACTTGAAACCGCTGTCCGACGAACGGGGGAATAATAGTGCACGATCGAACGTGGGTTCGGATCGCCAATGGCTTTTTTCCCGGCTCCAGGTTCGACAGGTCCTGAAGGGGGTAGGGGACGACGAACGGTCCTGTTTATGGCGGATGTCAGCATAAATTGAGGATGGTTATCCTAGCAGGGGCGGTTATCACCCTTCCAGATGGAACGCTTCAGTAGTGCGCGTGTTGGGAACATGTTCGTGAATGGAGGAGAAGGGGATGGGAGGGAGGATTCGTTGTTGGATGATGATTGATGCGGTGAGGAGAAAATTAGGTTTGGAGATCCTGGGACGGGCGTTGCCGTTATGTTGCCTTACGCGCCTCGCTGTACTGAATAGTACAGTACTCGTATAACTTATGGCGAACGTGGGCATGACTTCCCCCCTCTATGATACCACGATATAAATGTTATGATATTTCTTTCACAAGGCATTAAGAACATTTCACAGCAAAAGGCGTCAAAGCCCCCCTTGCCTCAGAATTATTATTATTTTTCCGGAACGTCTTCGAGCTGTGCATCTCCACGAGAGCATCCAGTGACTTGCTCTCACTGCTTTAACCACTCATCAGTGAGGACCATTCAATCACGGCTAGGCAATGGCTTTTTTAACAGAAGTATGATACCTGTCCATCTCCGGGGTATGATAAACTGTACTTGATATTCTCGGCCTTTTTTTTTTTTAACCGTCTTCCATTATATTTTTTGCCATCGTAACAGTTTATCCACTTCGTCTAGTGCTCCCCCAGACCCTGGAGCAGCATATTTTTTTTGCAATGATCATTTTAATAATAGGTACGTGCCAGCATTGGACGGTTATATCTCTCCGTGTTTGGTATGACGGTTGAGGAAGGTTTCGAGGTTCGTTGACGGAAACAACCTCCTTTCTACCTAGAAGTATTAATATACTGGCCCCAGCTAGTTGCCTTGGACCAAAGACACTGTGAGCCTACCTCTCACTGAGAGAAAGAGGGTCAAGTCCTTTTCGTACAGTATGATATAATAATAATTATTGATATAAATGGCAACACTAACAAGTACCGGTATATATGTTTTTTACCAAATACCCAATAGGCAACAGTAACCATCTTTCGAATGTCTACAAATTCATTATTCGTAGCTCGCAAGCTCTAGACGTAAGAATATGGCAGGGCGCCAGTGTGAGTGACCAACCAGCATCTGGAGCCAGAACAACGGAGCGGGTTCCGTTGATACTAATACCAGCCAATGCTGGCATAAACCCGTGGATGGACGATTAGGGGGACGTCTCTTTCGCCCAACCACGAGTTCACGAGGGGTTCCTTGTTATATCATCGCTAAAGTAACGATCAGGATTCAGTGGTGCAACTTAAATGTTAGCAAACTCCATTCGTTCACCCCCCATCCTTTCGTCTCCCGTGAGGCCTTCCCCCGGTAAATCACCAAACGTTTCCCACCTATCACCTTTCTCATCGTGGCAAAGCCATATATCGCAGCTACACTGTTTGGAACTCCATCCATCCAACCCCATCCCGACATCTCCCGGTTCACGATCCCGAGTGACATACCATGAAACCATCGATTTGTGCTTTAGTTTTCTGAACTGATTCCATTCTGGGGGTCTGGGGGGGTCGGAAATTTGCTCGAGCGATGGTAACGGGTATAGGGGTGCGGTTGAGGATAGAGTACTTGATTACAAGTGACCAACGAAACGGATGATTAACGGACGAAGGGGTGGTATGGTGCTATCAGAATTATTATAGTGGACTGCCCGGTAGAGGGCACTTGCACGGAAAGTCTGCTCATGGAAGAATTTTTAATGTAAAGGTGATTGCCATACTCCCTGTGGGAAAAAGAATGAAGAGAGAAGGGTTGTTCGCGAACATAAATTCACGCAAAGGAAAAACGAAACTTAAGTTAACCACACACTCCGCCAGCTGCTGCGGAATCAAAAGCTAGCAAAAGACGCGGAATTCCTCCCGTTCCTTGACAAAAGCATTAAAATCCCACCTTCCCCTTCCACCATGCTTCTATCTCCCCCGCCCTTTCAAACGGAATATTGAAAATCGGGTGGTGCACCTTCAACCTATCGCTCTCCACTTCCTGTCCGGGTAACAGGTCCTCCTCGGTAACGTCATCTGGCCACGCTGGCATATCCTTGACGATTGCTTCCGCCACGTTCGGGGTATTGCTGGGTATGCGTGGGGAGTAGCGCCATAGGAATGGGGCTGTGAGTGGGAGGGGGGGATCTCCGGATCCGCGGTTTGGGGAGGGCGGGGGAGAAGAGAGGGGGATGGGGGAGGAGGTATAGTAGAAGTAGTTCTGTGTGCTGGCGAGGCCGAGGAGGATGTAATTTGAGTGATAGTAGTCTGGACCTCTGGTTTGTGTTAGTTGCTGGTTGGGACGAGGGAATGGGGGGGGGAGACTTACTTCCTAGGTTTGTCACGAAGGCCACCCTTTGGGCTTTGACAGCAGTTCATAATATACCGTGCCAGCCCCTCCCTGCTCCAGAGACTTCCAACAACCTCCTTCTCCCCTAGTTTTTCCTCGTTTTCATCCTGCGGGCCGTTAATACCCGCTTCGATCAACGCCCAGCACCCCCCGACCCAGGTAGAATAGCACCCGTCAACAAGTTTGTTCGTCCGCCCGCTGAACCCCCCCTCCGGAGCGTACTGCCTGGCGCTGAGCCAGGAGATCGCGCGGTCCATGTCCAAATACTTCCGCAGCACCACCGCCGGCTCACCAAGAATGCACAATCCAGCAAGTGTACAGAACGCGTACCCACCGTGCGCTTCGTTCCCGTTCGGTGTGGCGCCGAAACCACCTTCGTATGTTTGACAGCGGCCGAGGTATTCCTTTGTCCCCTGGGTCAGGTTTCCAGAAGTGGGGAGGCCAAGGAGGGCTAGAATTACAAGTGCGCAGTAGACGCCGCGAACATCTTCCTCCCCACCAACACAGACTCTAAAACCGCCCGATTCCCAGTCCTTAATCTCATGAAGCCAGCGGAACATCGCTCTTCTGTCTACTATTCCCAGCGCCTCCCCATACTCCTCATCCCCGTCCTCACCTCTCCCGACAACAGCTAGCGCCAAAACCGCAGCATAACTAGCCGTAACATGCGATACCTGTCCATTCCCGCCACCAAAGCCGCCAGATTCGTTCTGTAGTGGTTGGAGACTGCTAATCACTCGCTCCCTATACTTCCCCACGTCAACCCCCAAACTCACCAACCCCTGCAAACACCAGTAAATTATCCAAGGCCTCGACGCGTCCAGCGCTACCATCTCCTCGCGTAACTTCCCATTCTGAACACCGAGGACCCCGCTCTTGAGAAAGGCAATGTGCTCGCGCCGGCTTAGGATAGGGAATGGATCTGACGGGTTGGAAAGGTATTTCATGCAGATCTCTGCGGTGGAGAGTTGTTCTTTACTGGAGAGGGTTTTGAGCGTGTCTTGGAGGATAGGACGTGTTGTGAAGAGGGCCGGAGTAGGTGGGATGAGGGATTCGGGAGGGGTAGTAGCGGTGGTGGACATGTTTTGGTTGTGATAATGGGGAAAGTAGGGGTTTGAGGGGTTCCAGGTTTGCTGGGAGTATGTTGGTGGTGGTTGTGCGGAGGATAGGATGTCATCGAAGACTTCGCTGGGTGTAGAGGGAGTTCTTGTTGTCGAGTTGGAGGGGGCTTTTGGCGAGGAGGGGGAGGAGGTGGCGGACATTTTGTTGTGCGTGAAAAAGACTTTTGGTCGTTTCGATCGGACCCGTAGGCGTTGTGGCATGAGGGTAAGTTTGATGGTGGGATGGGATGGAGTGTACTGTACCGGCAGGATTTGTTTGCCTGGAACAGCCTGTTGTGGTGGGTGGTGATGAGGTGAAGTTGGCGGGGTACAGTGCGGTAGATTGCTTTGCTCGTCTACTCTACTGTAGGTCCCGGCTAAGTTACCGATAGCTTTCTTTATTGGGGAGCAACTATTTTAAGGGAGAATAAGCGAATATAGAACAACACTTTAGTTATTAGTATTATTCCTCGAAAAGCTTTTGCTTTATTTCATTAGATTGTTTCACCCTGTCTTTGTGAGGGTGGTTTAACTTGTAGCTTATGCCAAAGCTGTCTGGTGGTGTTGAACTCTCCAGCAAGAAATTTCCCGAGTGATTTTCCTTGGGACTTTCTGATCTTCAAGAGCTGCTGCTGCACTGGTATGGTAAGACATACATTTCCCGTTTAGTGCTCTGCTCGGGTAGTAATGTAAGGGTCATGCATGGTAAGCTGACGGAGAAAGCAGCCTTCCAGCCGACCGAGCCATGGTACTGTACGAGGGGGGGGAAAGAAGTAGTGCGACACAGTAGCAACCGCTTCCCACAAGATCGCAACTCTACTCCCAACCCCCATCACTACAATACTCACTCTATCCCCCACCACCTGCCAAACCATTTCAGAAAAGCACTATGAGGGTAAAGGGAACCTGTTAGGAATACCAGAACCCGATACCTAGGAACCACCATAAGTAGGGTAACCCCACTCGGAATCGGAATCTCTGGTCTCCAACACTCCCTTACGGGGCCCATGCGTCATCATATATATTAATCTCAGTTGCGTCCTGTGACTATATTACCACAGAATTGAAGGTGTTAGAATAACACTGTATACGTTGTCGCCGTCTGTCCGACTGGATCCTGTTCACAGGATATATGAGAGGGGACCTTCGGCTAGGTCTGGGAAGTGGAACAGAACGATTCTGTCAACTACTCAGAGAGTTACTTGGCTCCAAAGACATGATACCTTTGGCATGGGCCGTAAGTAATGGGACGATTTCGCACAAAGAGATGGTATCAAATGGTAAAGGATCTCTACTAGAGACCAATACATTTACATCCACCAGAAGAGTCTAGAACTCCAAAAGACACTACCAAAGAAGCCAACGAACTTCACGGAGTGTTGCAACTGGGTTTCGGAACATATCGTAATCATGGGGTGATTCTCAATACTACAATGGTTACTGAAACCTACTACCCAGAGAGCAACCAAGGGTTGCCGACCGAGGGATTAATTACCTATCTGGTAGAATAGCTTCCTACGAGTTGATAGGAAGTCATCCAGAGAAAATCTATCGGTTGGATATGGAGTTACAAAGGATCGGAGTCAGACAACCTACGATAGTTGTAATGATGACCACCTTTGCAGATATAGCCATGGATAAAACTAATCATTTTATCAATGGTGAAGACAATTGGAGTCAACTCAGTTTGACTTAAGAACTAGGCCATAAGTCTAAAGACTCTGCTGATTGGGATATTACTATAGGAGACAGTACGTTTCCTAAGAAGAAATATTGTAATTACCGAAGAGGGTGTGATGGTTTTCAGGGTACACAGGTGTTTGCACCTTGGAAGAAAACTTGATGTCGTGAAATACGATTGAAGAAGTACATAGTTGTATGATAAATAGATGTAGTCCGCAAACACTCAGACGCGGAATATAAATATCGAAGTACCTCCCAAGCTTTAGACATCATCAAGCAATGGAGAAGAGACCTTAACAATATAATATTATTTTTATGATTCTACCCTACTTTACCTATTTTACTTCGCTCCTAGTAGTCATAAACGAAACGAGCAAAGTCTGAGCCTTCCTAGACAATCTCCGTCTACAGAAATGAATCTCGATTGGCCTAGGTAACTTTGAAGTCTATCAAGTTGTCTCCGCCTAACAGAACCCACAGAAGTGAGCGTAAGTAGTTTAATTAAATGAATATGTACATAAAGTTGAAATAATAATAAAATTAAATGATTTAGCGATTAGTCCACGAAATCTTGAGGGGCGGTGATCGTTGAGGAAGAAGCGACAGCGCTTTGAGCGGGAAACAACGCATGATGACCGGATCCGTATTATTGCTCTCCGAGAAATAACGGAGTGGTCTTTCAGAAAGATAGCTGCCAAATTGGAGGAAAAAATAGGCCTTAAAGTTCACCATATTACCTGTGCTCGTATCTATCAATGGTATCGGGAAACAGGTAGTCCTTCCAACTACCAGTGAACAGGAAGACCTCCAATCTTCCAGGAGTCTGATCTACTTGATCTAAAGTCTTTTATTAAAGAAGATAAAAGAAATAGAAGACTCTCTTGGGAGGATATTAAAGAAGAGAAGGAATTAAAGGCATTATCCAGGACAATTAGGAAGGCAGCTAAGAGTCTTAATTTAAATAAAAGAAAACCACGCAAGAAGTAAGTACTTTAATGAAGATTCAAGTATTTACATAACTAAAAGATATTTTAGATGGGGATTGCGCCCTAAAAATATACCAATTAGATTTGGTTGGTGTATGAGAAAAAGAGCTTGGAAACTAAGAGACTGGTCCAGAATCATATGGACTGATGAAACCTCATTCTCTACAGCTGGATTTGGGCAGAGAGGATGAGTGATAAGAGAACCTTCTGAGGAATATGATCAGGATTGCATTGATGAGGTCTGGGAGTCAGGAAGGGAGACAGTTATGGTATGGGGAGCCTTTTGTGGGGATTTGAGGTCAAAGCTAGTGGTAGTACCAGGAAAGGTTAAAGTGGATTCTTATAAGTATACTAAGTATATTCTGGATCCAGTTTTAATTCCTTTCTGGCATGAGTGTTGTGAGAGATTTGGTTGGACTAGGGTTGTTGAAGATGGTGCACCAGGGCATAAAGGGTAGGTTCTACCTCCTTATAATTATTGTATTTTCTGTTTTTTGATATAGAAATACTTGCTTAAGAATATAATCTAACTACTGGTTTAATCACAGATATTCTACAAAGTGTAGAAAAAGGAATGGGGTGGATATATTGCCCTGGCCACCACAGTCACCAGACCTGAACTTAATTGAAAATATTTGGGGAGATATGGAAACTTACTTGGGGAAAAGGTATGGAAGAGTTGCAAGCAAGGAAGAGCTAATCAGAGCTGTGGAAGAAGCATGGAAAGCTATTCCTGATGGAAGGTTTATGGATCTTTGCAGAAGTATGCCAAAGCAGGTCAGAGAGGTTATTAGAAGAAAAGGGCGCCAAACTCATTATTGATTTATGATTTTCTTTTTATTTTACTTTAAGGAAATACTAAGCATTTTTTAATTTTATCTCCTTTACTTATTTTATTTATTGAATGTGGTTGTGGAAAATGGTAGTACTATATGTTGTTGATATTGTTTCCGTACGGGAATTTGTGTTGCACGGGTGTCGCATTACTTTCTTCCCCCCCCTCGTACAATACGGGGCCGGTGGTCCCTGCGCTGTGAATGGGGGCGACTTGAGCGTAGCCATACTCGTACATGTCGGAGGCGTTCTCACGCTGTCCTCGTAGACTAGATCACAAAGGAATCGCCAGTAATTCTGAGTTTTCAGAAAAAAAAAACATAATTTACTGGATGCCCACACATGGCACACCCATATCGCTGGCAGGGAAACAAGAAACCAAACAACATAACACAGAAATTTCGTTTCATTGTGTAATATCATATCCACTTTTCAATCGTGGTTCTACACCACATGACATAGCAGCATCTCTAGACCTGCACAGTGTTAAGCACTAAATAATCCCAAAGCTCATTCGAAAAACGCTTCTTAATGTCCTCCAACCTCCATCCTTGCGCATCCCCGATCTTCTTCAAGGCATCCCTAAACTCTGGGATCTCCTTCTTGTACGCAACATTCTTGAGATACTCCCTAGCCGGAAGTTTACCTAGCTTCAGCCCCTCCCTGCTCAATCCGTCAGAAAAACCGTGAAACCTAAGCATGGAAAGAACGGGAGTAACAAACCATTCCTTGGCCCAATGTGGCCTAACATTCAACTCCTGCCCATAAATTTTCCCGTAACTCATCCACTTGTCAACGAGCAGCTGCAAGAATGGCTGCCACTCTCCATCGCTAACCGCGTCGGGGATGGACAGGACCTCGATGCTTGCTGTTCCGTGCTTATTCCCGCGTTGGGGTGCCATGATCATGTCGCTATCCGCCATGATGCGGAGTTCTAGCGTTAGGCGCATGGGGGATTCGGGGTCGGAGTAGACGAGGCTTATGGCATCCCACCAGGCACGCTGGATGATTGTCCAGTCAGGCTTCGAGGGATCGTCTTTTCGGCTTGGGATTGGGATCTGGAGCTCCATGTCCCGACAACGCATATTTTGGGTCTTTCATATTTTTTAAAAAAAGCTCGTCAGGATTACTTTCTCCTCGTAGGGAGGGGAAGGGGGGGGGACCTTACACCACGTCTAAAATGCAATGCATCTGGCATAGAAGTCTTAATTTCAGCATCGTGTTTCCCGAAAAATTGGGGGGGCAACGCAGCCATCGTGAGCGTCGCCAAGAACTCCGCCTGCCAGCGTCCTGGGATTTCCTTGAAGAAATTCGTCTCGACGATGACTCCTCCAAGCCATCCCTGAACCCACTGGAGCCAGACCTCGAATGTGGGTGGGTACTCCTTCGCGCCCTGCTGGTCGTCCACGGGATTCCAGCAGTGCACCCATGCCTTTTGCTGGAACGGGAACCAGAAGAATTCGGAATAGTAGTCCTTCTCGACACGCTCCTCGAAGCGCCTGGTAGCCTCGGCGAGCTGTTTTTGCGTGAATGTCTTTTTCAGAGCAAAAGGGACATCTTCGGGTTTCAGAGGGGGGATGGCGAGATTGATATCTGGCTTCTCCGGACGCATCACTGCGTAGGACATTGGTTGGAGCTCCAGGGTTAGATGAGTGACTATACCGAGAAGGCCGAAGCAGCCTGCGGCTGCTTTGAGGAGTTCGGGGTCTTTGATGGTTTGGTGGACGCCGTTGGCGTCGACGTATTCTACTTTGCGGACCTGGTCGGAGGTGGTCTTGTGTTGACGCCCGGCACCGTGACAGATGGGGGCGTTTGTTCCACCCTGCAGCATCAGGGTCAGTGCAAAAAATTCGCAGCGATTTCCCATTTGGACTAAAAAGAAGGGTGCTATACCATAGTGACTCTGTTCCGAGAAGAAAAATCAGCGCGAGTGACATATTATGATTTGGAATCGAAGACTTACTCAACAAGGATAACATCCATCGGCAACGCCCAAGTTTTGTGCTCAATCTGCCACCTCCTAAACTCATCCGCGGTGACCGCAGAGCCAACACGAACGCATTTATTCCCCGGCTTCGAAACAGGCGTAAGGTCATCAAGTTGAATACTCTTAAGCTCGTTCGATGCATTCGACTGTGGAGGAGGAAACAGCGTCGAGTCATCCGGAACCTGCGTCGCCTTCTGAATATTCAACAGCGAGACCAAGATCTCGTTGTCGGCGGAGAACATGGGGGCCCAAGTATGTCTGTAGCCACTACACCTGACACGGATGCCCTTCTCCTTGGCGTACTTCACGAGGTTCTCCAATCCAAGGATGGTTGTTGGAACGAACGTAAATTTTGGTTTATTCCGTACTGTCAACCCCCAGTTGTCGAAGTTCTTATCGGCGTACACCTCCATGACCTTTTTCCCGTCCTTGTCCTCATAGATCTTGGGCACGTTCTCCCGCCCAAGGCTGGATTCCAGGACACTGAAGTGGTGGATAGCAGCGGGGCTGGGAAGGACTTCGAACCCGGACTGCGTGACATCCGATGCGGAATGGCCGTCTATGAATTTGTCGATTTGCTCTCTGACCCGGTGGTCGAGGATTTTGAAGGATTGTTTGTACTCCTTTGTATTTCGGAAGACTTTCAGGAAGAGCCGGAGTTGGGTCTCTGTGTCGGCTTTATGGTCGCGGACGTCTGAGACAAGCTTGCTTAGGTCGTCGAAGTCGATTTTGGGGAAGTCGTCGAAGAAATCGGATATGTGGTCGAGGATTTCGCCAAGAATCCAGTGACCGTTTAACTTGCCGGTGTCTGGGACTGGGACTCTGTTTGGCATTTTTGGGGATGATTGTGGAGCAGGAGGATGATGGCTTATTCTTTAGGTGCTTACTTGCGCCTTGAGAGTACTGGGGGCATAGTGGATATTACATTGCTGGAGATCCTCTCTTTATAGATCCTGAGTTTTAGGATCCTTGGGGGCTTTCTACCTCAGCCGTGGCTGAAAATGAGTATGAGAAAATCATACACGGTACCGGTACTCTAAGACCTCCATCGTCCAGTTCTTTAGGAAGGGGTGTAATCTTATGCTGCCATACAGGCAACCAATGGGGCAGGTGAAGTAAGTGAGCCTCGTCCCGGTTTTGATTGCTTACCCATGTGAGCTCCCATTCGGCGCATCCCGTGAACAGCCAATTACGAGGGCTTGTTTATATTGAGGTGGGGTATCATGGAATACCGGTACTAGTATAGCCAACTGATAGAACTACTGATATGGGTGCCCAGATGCAGCTACTTGTGCAATACAAGGCCTTCTGACTGATCGGCGGAAGGAGTGAGAGTTGATACGGTAGTCTACCGTACCGGTATTGCGCTTTTGTCAGTTTGAGGCGGATTGGGGGTGTCATAGGGCTGTGGGAAGGTTAACGATACGGTAGCATAGCGCACATGTTGGCATACCATAATGGTGTGCGAAGTTCAAGTGTCATGTTTCTGTAGGAGTATCATACCGGTACAGTACCAGCTGCCAGTATTAATGAACAAGCGACAGTGCTACCAATAACCATACTCGAGCACCGTACAGCAGAAGAAAGGAATACTGGTGCAGTGCTCGGGAACGGAAGGCAGATTTCGTCACACTTTATGATACGAGGATCTCCCACGTGCTCTATCGCTTAACCCACATTTTGTGCCTTGGATCAGCTCTGACTCGAGCAATGCATTCGAACACCACCTCGATCAATAACGGGCGGTTCTTGCCGACGTTGCGGGACGGTGCCGTATTACGCCTCCAACCCCCCCCCGCACCAGACTCTTGATAGTGCTATTACCCCACATATTGTATCCACCACAAACCTTCTGGGTATGATACTGCAATCCACAGTTTTCAACAACAGAGCGGTCAAGTCCCCGGCCCTCATTCAGCCGCGGAGAGGGGGTGGCTGGCAAAGTGCGCTTCCTGCGCTTGAACCCCCCCCCCATCCTATGCCGAGCATACATTCCCTACCTGTACTGTACAAACAGATTCTCGGGGATGTGCTCGAAATACCGGTACCCCTCATCCTCTAACTTAACCTTTGTTTTTTTTCGAACATAATGCTTTAGCCGTGCTGCAGCTTCGGTGAGGCGAACGGAATACAAAATTTACCTTGAGAGTTTAGCTTCCTGTATGGTATTGCTACAAGTAGCCACGGCATTCAGCTGGAAAGTTGTCGCAGGAGAATTGTGGGGGATTGGGTGGGCGGCTCGATCGAACGTGACACAAGATCATTCATTCACTGCATTCGATCTAGGTTAGCCTACAATGAACAATACGAGATTATCATTATTATTTCGAACGGACTCGATCACAGCTTCTGGATCTCCGGGAACGAAAGGCTTGTTCGCAGAACGAGACCAGTTACCGTGAAAAGTTCGCCGTTAATTGAACGGGTCTGGAGAAGATCTTTTGCGAAACCTTGAAGCCTGCTTTTTTATTTTTTATTTTGAAAGATTATAAAAAAAGAAATCGCATCTACGATACCACACCTTATTGATAACTATTGATCCCCCTTGACGAGATAAACCAAGCATCTACCATCAGCGATTATCCTTTCCCGGGACTAAGTTTCCGTGGCTCAAGCTACTTGTATCATATCTTCTACCGTCTGCGCGATTTCTACCGACATGCTGTGCACGTGGTAGTACCAACAACCACCACATTTTAGTTCAGGAACCAAAAGGGTTTATCCTTTCCAAGCCATTAGGATGCGTGCGCTGTCGGGTCGAATTCAGACCCCGCAGCTTTACCGGAGGACAAGGGGGAGTAATTGATAAGGCTGAGATGGAGTGGGGGTTGGAGTTTGGTACCTGGGAGGATTGGGAAGGGTTGGTATATAGGTATGATTACCATGCACTTGACTTGCCTTGGGGGAGGCGCGTGGGTGGGAAGTTTTTTTGCTTTCGGGAGATTCGTGCTATTGCGAGTTTCGTAAGTTGTGCGGAACTGGTAGAGTTGAGGGGGGGGAACTGTATGAATTGTGTTGAGCATATCGAGTCGTGTTAAATATGGAACTGACGGTCTTGTTTGAGGAGTCCGTCGACAATCAAGACAGCGCTGGACCTAGTTTGCTGATAAAGCCGACAAAATGTCGCCGTGAAGCTGTTGGAAAAAGTCTAAGACACCTTAGTTTCTTCCCCTTCGACTCGCTGAGGTTTTGTACTGTTTACTTATGAAAGTCACAATACCGCATGTGGTGCTTTGGGGCGGGTGGGTAGTTGCTGGCATTGCCATTTCTCTGCCGCGGGGGTTCTGGCGGTCCTGTGGGAGAAGAAATGTGTTGGTAAAGAGGGGGTGGTAGAGACATGTTTTATGGGTATCATAGGATACTTCAGATAGATGAGACCTTTGTCTGGCCTGGTCTAGTCTTACTGGACGGAGCATAATCACCCCGGTAGGGAAATTGGTGTAGGACAGCTTACAGTTTTTTGGCAGAAAGGATATCAGGTCTTGCTATGGTATCGGTATCACCTTGGCCTCGCACGCTCAGCAATGACGAGCCGGGGATAATTCATCTGTCCCCCCCGCATTTCCTTTTCCCTATCACATGGCATCACTCGATCACTCCCACCAGCCACCTACCACGACCTATGATATGTACCACCCGGAACACCCAGATAGCCGAGCACCCAGACAACCTGGCACATGGACCAAAGCCAAGGACCCTGCCCGGGGCTATCCACCCTAAAATCCCAAAAAGCTCCTCTACTCGAGCACGTATGATACCTCATTCGTAACCGTATCTCCGTTTGAAACTTTCTACATATGATGCCGTCCATATTCCCGCCGCTGAACAACCATCAAGTATCATACAACCACGTAGTCGAGCTGATATCGATTGCAACCCAAATAGCTCACCCCAGAACCACCACAGTTCCCGTTCCACCCTAAATTCCCGTCCATAGCTTAGGCACAGGCCATAAGCGCCCTCCCGCGTTGTTCGACAAGCGCCCACTTTCTCACCGGTCGAGTGGGATGTGGCGCCGTAGGTATGATCACAACAGGAACGATCCTATGAATTGTGCGGATTTTGTCTAGCTTAAGAGGTGCCGTGTTTTGGCTGGGGGCAGGGTACTGTACCGGCCCTTACAGTAATTGTCTGGGTGATTTTTCCGGTATACCGGAATCGTTGAAGAGTGTTTTACTTGGGCATCTCAGAGGAACCGTAATGGGTCAGGAGGACTAGATGAGGCAGTGTGAGCGAGAATTATTTGCCTTTGTTCTCGCTGGCCGTCTTATCAGTCTTCATCGGAGGAATGGCCTTTTACACCTCCCCCCCGCACCGAGTTCAATTTCCATTGTCCAGGTTACGCAGTAGGAATATCACATATTAGGACCCGTTTCTATGAAACGGTTGAAATCCGTGTTTAACCTAGTATTATCTATTTTATTCGCAGCTCGCGTTATAAACGACACTTGTGAACGGCGATACCATAAGTCGAGCATTCGAGTATCATACCGTACCTCACCTCACCGCCACGGACAGGTATGCTGCCGGCTGGTAGTGGTGTGCTGGCAAGCTGGGTAAGTTGAGTGGGGAAGGAAAAAAGAAGAGAAGTTGATTTCCCTATTTCGTGATAACCGCATGTTTTTTTTTATCCGGTCCTCTTTAGTTACTTTAGTCTAGCACCGACAAGTTGTAGATCTCGTGCTCTTGTAAAGCGACTTGTTTTTTTTTTTTTGTCTTAATTTTTGATTTGATTTTAGGTATCATACCGCCTAGTACAGTACTCGTATAGAGGTCTCACACCACCGGTTCACCACGGCTCGAAGAGGCGGTTTGCAGTTCATGAACCACGAACTGGAAAAATGAGCCATAGTTTGATGCTAGCACCGGCTCTGGAGGTGATAGTCTACTCAGGCGGTTCAGAGGGTGGTGGTAACACAGTTGACTTGCGCAAGAGAAGGAATATCCATAGTCAGTCAGTCACCAGCCACTAGAGATGAAAATCTTATTAGCGTAAAGGTTTCTCCGTACAACGAATATTCAAAACGAGTATGATGGTAAAATCTTTTAATTGATCTGTGATAGGAGGTCTCACTCCATACCGCACCGAACCTGCTAGGACGGCAGTACTCCGTACGCATCCCAGACCTGGACTACGGGCGTGAGACCCCCTAGTTCTCCTAGAGGATATGATACCTTCCCCTCGAGGACAGAATTATTAGGCGCTGTATTCTTGGCCATTGAGCCATATCGAATACGGTGCTAACGTGCCGAAACTGACGTGCTCCCGAACAGGCACTTGGCTTAAACCACTAGCAAAATTACAAATAAGATCCAATGCTAGTTCAGTTTATTGCATTTAGATTCAAATAATCCTTCTCCTGCACCGGATAAGAGAACCCATAATAAAGGAGGTGATCCCCAGAGTCCCACCCCCACAGAGAAACCCAAAAGAATACAGGCGCTCCCCCTCTACTCGGTTCTGACTTGTATAACCGTTCATGGAACAAGGCACCTGTCAATTTTACGCCCACCGGTACTCCTCCGAACCCACTTTCTAATCCCTTTGCACTCCAGTGCCATAACGGTCTTATTAATCCCACATATCATCCCCATATAAAATCCGCCGTATTCACAAGCTGACTGATGGACAGCGCAAAGCTCCAGACCTCACCCAAGCGCCCCTCGACATCCATTAAGCACAGTGTTCTGTGACAGTAATGGAAACAAGGATACACCACAGCAGTTGTGGTGTTCAATACTCTGGGTCTCATTTGCATATGGAAATCAGGCGAGGGGAGTAAGTTAGAGATGTAGGCGATTTGTCGTGTTCGTTACACTACCCTTAAGTTGAACACACTTGACGGCAGGTTCCTGTTTAGTAGTATTGTGTAACTGCGAACTATTGGTTAGAACAGGCCAAGAACCTAGGCGTATCCTGAGAGATTTTCACTGACAGAATAAGGGATTTCGGGTGCAGAATTCTTGAATTCTCAGCGCATGATAGTACCCACCTGTGTTGTGAAGGGGGCCACTGGTGGAAGTTTATCGGTTAGAAGCTGGCTTCACTGCGATTAGATTGCTACCACAAATAGCTTCGAAAGAAGCAGTCGCTCCGATCCGTATATGCAGCAGCAATGGTCCGGGAACCTCTCTGCAATCCCCGATAGGTATGGAATTTGCACAGATGGCAGTAACGATAAGCGTAGATTGGTTTCTCCACGTTATGCTGTCACGTTGACGTTTCCCTGTTTCCAGCAACCCCGAGTCAATCGGCAACCAACTGCCCCTGAGCCCAGAACAGACCCTTACCGATCAATCCCGCGATAACCCCTACTTCACGCCAATAAAACGCCTTTATATTTATAAACCCTCTCTCCCAAGGTAAGAAAAGAAAGCTGTATAATACAACCCCCCCCCTTTTTTTCTCCAACCTCCCAAACTTAGTACCCATCCGCACCTCCCCACCCTTCCCTCCTCTTCGCCCTATCAATCCTGGCATTCCTCCTTCTGGGTCCCCACTGCTTCTTAACCATTTCCGCCTTCGCCCACATCTTCTTCCTCCTTTCATCATCCGCCTCGGCAACCATCCCGACAAAAAGACTGGACGTTCCGAACTCCTCCGCCAGCTTCCTCCTAGTCCAGAGACCCGGATCCGATTTCCTCAACGAGCGCATGCGCGAAAAGTCCGTGGGCGTGAGGTGGTATTTCTTCTCTTTGATCTCTGTGACTGGTGGTGGGAGTGTTAGCTCTTCTGGGGTGCCGTTGATAGGGCTTGCAGCTGTTTGCAGGGCGCGGCGGGGGTCGTCTTTCGGTAGGAAGAGTGTGGGAGTGACAAAGACGCTAGGCGCAGCGGCAGGAGGATTATGGAGGATTTGTGTTAGGGAGGGAGAATCAGTGGTTAGATGCGTTTTGAAGTCTGGGTGTGGTGGCAGGCGGAGCCGCTTTGTGTGGCGGCGGGTGTTCGATTCGTGACGAATGAAGGCAAGGGATTTGCTAGTTGTAGAGCGAATTTCGGGGAGACCCCGGCGGAGGAAGGTGGCAGGATTGAACATTGATTGTTGGTTGTTGTGGCTGTGGGAGTAGTTTGTTTGCAGATGTGATGATTGCGATGATGATGGTCCTGGCAGGGTGAGGTTGATTGAAGAGCTTGGTGTGGAGGACTTGGCAGGGTTAGGGTTTCAAGCACTAGCTACCGGGAGGCCTTGGTTCGGGAGTGTGGATGTGTTAGATTAAGTTACGAGTAAATTTAAATTATGATAATAATTATTATGATACCAGGAGAACGAGGCTCTACAGTATTATATTCTCTTAACTCAGAATGCAGATATACAGAAATTGGCACAGATACCCGTAGAAAATCCTACACCCGCCGTGATCCCATGTTAAACCCTCCAGCGCAATCCCAATCCTGCAAGCCAGGTTGGAATACCCATTACTGCAGCTAGCCACTATATACAGTAGATGTACCACCGCCAGCTGCACCCACCCGAAATCCCCCTTCTCCAATTCACGCACTCCTCCATCATACTTCAATCCTTCAATCCCTTTGACAAAATCTCATATCCAACCTTCCTAACCCTCCCATTCCTACTCACAACATCATCCGGCGTGAAATCATCCCGAACGTACCCCAACCTAGAATAAAACCTCCTAGCTTCCACATTCTCCAAAAATACCGTAAGCATAACCTTCTCCACACCCACCCTCTTACCAAACCCCTCCATAACCTCAACCAATATCCTACCCAGCCCGCGACTCCGCATTTCCTGCGCGAGGTGAAGTTCATAACTATCCCCCGAATCAGCCCTCCTCCCGCCCACCCAACGAAAGGGAAATTATAACCATACCAATAAACAACCTCACATTCATCCTCCTCCGTAATCATGAAGCTCAAGAACCCCACCACCGCCCCCGCCGCCGAGAGGATCAAGTAGCGCATAGCCGGGTGCTTCATTTCCTTCTTTTTCGTGGTGGCCGACCACCCGATGGTCCGCTTGTACATGTCCTTGCATTCCCGGACGAGGTCGAAGCAGGCCTTGAAGGCTCCAGTTGACATCGTTTTGGCCGTTTCCAGGGTTATCGAGTGCGACGGCTCTGGCGGGCGCGGCGTCGACGGGAGGTAGGCTTCCCGGAGGGTGGATAGCGGGAGACGATTGTGGGTTTCTATTAGTGACATTGGAGATGTAGTTGTTGGGTGGGTTGCTGACTGACCGCGGTTGGGCGCGGTAGAATTCGGAACGTGTCGCCATGGGCTGTCACTCGGTTGATGGGTTCCAGGTTCTGGAAATTGATGTTTAGATATTCTGAACCCAGGACCCCCCCCAAAAAAAAACTCCGTCTCCCCATATTCCCCCTTCTGTTTGGCGGATTCCTGATTATTCACCCAGCGATAAGAAAGAATTCTGGGTAGACCAAATACCACGTTCCCAACATCATAGTACTCTCCATAATTTCCATATGCCTATCTTATATTCCAGAAGCCCATATAAGCGCCAAGAGCTATGTCCATAATCGAACCCCGTGTGACATTTGCCATCGAACCTAATCTACCCAAAGCAAAGGGAGCAGTAGTAAATTAATGCTAACATCACCTCACTCACCCACTCCCACAAGGCTTTCGTAACATCTAACCTATGACATCCCGGAGTACCACCGCAGTCTTCGATCCAAGAATTGCAAGCGCTAACCTATTTGCCGAAGGGGGAAGATTCGCTTCCATCTAAATTAAAGAGAAGAGATCCCTCTGAGGAGGGGGGGTTAAATAACAGTCCGTCTAGCCCTACTACATCTGCAGCAGGTCGCCGTAGACGGAGGGAGTACCTGAGGTATTTCCAGAACTATGGATGGAGTGTATCTAAACTAAAGACTTGTTAAATTACATTTAGTAGAGCCCTCCACTTCATAGTGTGATTGTTTGTAGTAACTGGTGCTTTGTTGTTTTCGCTTTGGTTTTTTGCTTCTCACATGTACGAAAATCTCATATAAGCTTTAAAAATGACAACTCGGCCGCCAAGAGTATCGATTGATATCGTAGCGCTAGGTACAAAACAGAAGCAGACAGGATTCCCTACAAGTACTCGCACAACGAGCTACCTCCACCCGTTGACAGAATGAAATAGAGAACATACATCAGAATAACAAAGAATAGGGGCTAGGATGGCGGATTTCTTGAACACCACTACGCCCTAGAGTATATCGCGGATGCCCGCTATAATCCTCTCCAAATCATCGTTCCAGGTACTCGGCGAGTTGACCTCCCCGGAGTTGAAATTTCCCTCCCATTGGCTTTCGAATTCCTGAACGTGAGATGGCTGCGAGGTTTGCTGGGGTTGCTGGTCGGTAGAATTCTCCACTTGCATGCCACCACTGAGCCAGGGAGTGTCGGCGGCGTAATGGAAGAAAACAATGAGACATTGGCACCCGTTGATGATCTCCAGCTGTTGGGGGACCGACTGGAATCTCAAAGGAGGGGGGACGGGGATGGGCCTAGTACGGCCAATGGCTTGCCATCTGTTCCTCCGAACTCCGGTGAACGGGTCGAAAACCTGACAAGGGGCTCTCAGAACTAGTTCGAAATATCTGTGAAGGTCATTTCGATGAGTGCGACGGTGGACTGCTCCGGTGATCTCATGGAAGAGTAGCCGGATTTCCTGTTGGTCATCGTCGTAGGTGTTCCTCTCGGGGACGGTGCAAAAGAATGTCATGGGGACACCGTCAAGGTCGAGCGGGCTCTCCCTGAACCACCCGTAGGTGTATTGACGCCCATCGGTAGTCTCATCCGCAACGACTGTAGCAGATAGCCCTCCGGCAGTGCGGGTCTCCATGCGAGCACAGGATCCAACTTCCGTAGCACGGTAGGCGGGTTCAGCGGTAGAACTGTAGTTGTGATAAGGCAAAGCGTTGTACTGGCGCATATGCCTAGTGGCAGAGCGGTAGGAGCGTGGCCCAGAAATACGACTGGTTGCGAGCATAGTGATAAACGGGATACTCCTTTAACTCCATTAGACCCGGAGATCGTAGAACGTTCCTTTTTGCAGCCACGCATACCTACGAACAAGAAGGTACTTGATCTTATGAAATTGAAGTTCCAACTCCAATTTAGTCAATGCAAAATAAGATAGAAGCGAGCGCTAGTACTAAAGCCAGTTGTCAATCAATGTCGAACTGTCTAAGAGAAGGAAGGCCAGAGTCTTACCTCAAATAGAGCAGGATATTGTTGCTCGAAACAGAAAAAGAAAAGCAGAGTGATGAGGATATTCGGGATGGTAAATATGAGTGACGGCTCGAAAAGTTGATGATATGGAGGTGGCTATGGTGGGGTGAGGATGGAGGCTTCAGAGTTCTTGGGTATAAGTTGTAGGGCTGACGAACCTCCCACGAATATCAATGGCAGTGAAAGAGGTTCAATGATCCCTTTCCCAAAAACAATGGTAAACGAATGGTGGAGGGTGTTTACACCATTGGCCTTGGTCTACCCAAATGAGCTAGGACGTTGCCCCGTTGGGACTGTTTTAGCAGTGCTTGCTCCCTCAGAAATAGCCCTAAATATGACAGGTGCTAGAGATTTCAACCTGGAATACCCTCTAGCGCCATCAAACCCCGACCAACAAAACAAACCTGAACCCTCCTTAAACCCTATAGGGATTTTGGTGAGCGAAAAATGATGTTCACATCCTTACCGGAAAAGGTGTAAAATGAACCTCGGTTATCATAGTCGATCCACTTCTCGCCAGTTGACAAAGTCTTAGGGTGATGCTATGCTCACTGAGTTCGGTTTATAATCATACGTGGTCACTCGGTTAGCTGGATTGGGTTAAAATAGATGAGCTCTTTAAAATTCAAATGCTGTGGTCATTAATAGCGGGTCACTTGGACACAAAAATAGGAACTAAACACGTGGCCCTTGGAAACCAAAACTCTATTCACAAAAAAGAAAGAGAAAAGAAGGAAACGGAATTATAAACGAAAAAACACAAGAAAAAAGTTTATGCTCTATATTCAGTGGGAATCACCATCGCTTAGCCTACTGCAAGAGGCCCTAAGGGCCTGACATTGGCTGTATGGAATTGCACCCCTCCTTGCGGCCCGGAAGCAGGAGTCAGCAGATTTCATGCAACGATCGAATAACGATCTGTTGGGAGAGTTTCCAGTAGTGCCGCCAGTAATGCTGCCTCCGGAACGCCCAGGGCCGGTCGCGGTTACGGTAGAAAAGGCAATAGCAGAGGTACGGGTGGTCGTGATGAGAGTGGTAACTCTACCTCCAACCCCAATACCGCGGGCACCGCCAGCTCCAGGACCCCCGGGTTTAGTGCCTCGAACACCGGCAACATTACCCTTGGTCTCGGCACTACCGGCGCCACCACTGATAATGCTCCCAGTTCCAGTGCCAATGCCTCTAGAGCTAGTAGCACCACCTCCAATCCTAGCACCTTCACCACCAGCTCGAGCGCCTGTAGAATTTCCTCGGGCCCCTCTACCCCAAATACCGCCAGTACCAGTACCTCTATTTTTATTGCCACCAGCACCAGTAACACTGCGTTTAGTCCCAGCCCCGCCACTGCCAGCCCCAGTGCCAGGAATTGCGGTGACATTTATTCCAGGAGGGCCTGAAACAATGGAAGCACCACCAGCTATTGAGCCACCTCCAGCAGCTTTACCGGGGGCAATGGTGGTAGTGCTTGATCCACCGGGGCCCCCAGCAATAGTGATACCACTCGCTGCCACCCCGCCCCCAGTAGTAACAGTAGCTTTGGGAGAGACCTCAGATATGATCGTGAAGTCAGCTCCATCGTCAATAATTGCAGGAGACGTAGCCGCCGCCACCCCAGAGATGGTAGTATCGGGGTCATCAGCCAAAGCCACCTCGAGATCGTTGACCGTGATGATGTCCGCACCTTCATCCGCGGGAACCTCCATTCCAGAACCACTTGTCGCAGCTCCGGCACCCTCAACGATTGTCACGTTACCTACTACACCTATGGCGTCAGCCAGAGCACCCCCCGAGAGTAGCAGAAGCACTACCAGCCGCGTATGTGGCATCAGCCACAGCCCCGAGATCGTCGGTGACGGATTCCTCAGTGTCATCAACGGTCGCAAAAT